ATTATATAAAAATTAATCAATTTTTATTTCAGGTATTAACTGCACACTAGTTATATGTAGGTTGGAAATTGGTAAAAATTTCCATCCTTACACTGTTGCCATCCTTTTCCCATCCCGTTGCTGTCTTGCTATCCTTTTGCTATCTCATTGTGTGGAAACAATTTAATAAAATATTCGATAACACAAAACTTTTGAAATACTTCACTTAAGCCACTAGGATATACTTATGTATAGTACAAACCAAGTAAGTTGTACAAGGCTGATAAGTAATTATACGAGTAGCAAAATAACTTCTGCCTACACACTATAGTTTTTCTCGATAAACGGAAATTGAAAACAAAAGTCATACACATAAAGGATTTCCCATCACTTCGAAACAGTTCTTTATTTATTATTGTGCCAAGCCAATTTCAATTTCAATTTCACTTTTAATTTTCGTTTGAACTTTCGATGATATGATTTTAATTAAGAAATTTTTAATAAAATTAAAGTTCATCCAAATTGAGAAATTCTTTTCTTTACTATTGTAAGATATACAAAAAAAAGGTTTTTCCAATAACGTCAATACAATACTTAGGTTAACAAATCAAAGGAAATTTTCAGATAAGTCCATCTACCTAGTGGGTTTACGTAGTCGTCGACTTCATCAATTGCAGGTATGTTATGTCAAATAATTCCATTACGGTCTCGAAATAAAATTATATCTTGTTGAACCCATATACTTGCCATCAATCTTTTTCTAATATGCATTGGATAGAAACAAAGTTTATATTTGATGGTTTCACACACTTCTCATCACCGCGCCTTCTGCAATTGTGATTTACTGTATTACCAATGCATGTAGCAGTCGATCTATAGGACACTTACAGGAAATATAAAAATATCCGAGGAAGACTTCATGTATATGTATTGCAAGAATCCTCTACAACTTTTTTAATCAGATAAATTCTTTTTAAAATTATTTTCTTCCTTGATTCCATTGATGATCCGTTTTATTTAGAAACATGTTTCTGGTTTAAAGTTTGCAACCTCTTAAATAAACGCCAATAAACGTCCTTATTGATTGTTTAAATTCGACCCATTTATTCCATCAAAATATTTTATTATTTTTTTCAGCCATGTCTGCCTAGATAAAGTTATAGAATGAATTGATTTAGTTATTTGCACTCTTGCTATATAATAGTCGGTTCTTGAAGATTATTCTCATTAAGTATTCTACAGTGTCATTTCTTTAATATTCTTTCATAATGTACATCACTCCCACCTGCCTAAATAATGTGTAGATCGACCTTCTGGACCATCTCATTTAGAGATTTGTGGCAAATGTCGATTGAATATATATTTAAAGGTATTTAGTTTAAAGCTTTTGTAGCTTCTTTATTCTCTGAATAAATATTATGTATTGTTCTGTGACTATGATCATATTTTTTTACAATTTATTGATTATTTCTTGAAGTCCTTCTACTGATAAGACACTATAGCAGAAAGTTGAAAATGTGAGTTTATTCTTAATTGTTCTGCATAAATATGCATTCCTTCTACATTGTTATAAAACTTCTACGTTTGTATAAAAATTAATAGCATCGACAGATACTTATTTTTTTAACCCTGTCAGCCGATATGGAATAATGATTCAAAATAACTGGGTTATGTGTAATAGTAGTATGCAATAATCAGATTTTAAAGAATTAAATACCAATTAAGAATGGTAAAAAATTTTTTTTGATGGACATATTCACTGTCTGAATTCTTTTAAACGGATTACCGATAAGGTGGCACATTTTCTACTATGTAGTCAATTAGTTGAATGTAAAGGATGGAGTCCAAAGTATTTAATATTGTGGTTCTTAAAAATGCTCTTTTATCCATTGCCGTGTTGGATTTTTGCAAGAAGTTTCCTTACATTTTTTCATTCCGGAAATGTGTACTTGACCAATACACCATTTAAAAAGATATATCTAATTATTGATTTATATATTTAATTCAGAACTGTATGTGACATTTTGCATGCTTTTGCCATAGGAATTGATTTTATTTACTGTGCGCGATTATTCCAAAATACTTCGAATTATTACTTAATTTTAGTTTTAAGTTATTAAGGAAATTATACTGGTAAACATTGGTTAATATTTTTAAATGAAGAGCACTAGTTCAATTTTATTTGGATTTAATCGTAGTTACGCATTTTGTATCAATATTTGAACAGTTCTGGCAATATTCCTTATCAGTTCAGACACTGTCTCGATAAGTTTCCCAACGAATATTATGTCAATATCATCTACATATACAATTATGGTATATAACAGCCAACTTCGCTTATACAGACTGTATCTTCCGAGACACTGTCTTCTGTATCACACTCCTACGTGTACACCTCTGCTTTGTACAATACAGGGAACAAAAATTGTTTATTTATTATTATATGAAAAAGCTATGTTAAGAAAACCTACTCTCTTCAACGAAAACACTTCTGCAGTTGGTCTCAGTACATTATCTACTTATCATGGCGTAAAAAAGCTTTCTTTAACGAAGTATACCGAACATTCGAAATTACCTTTTCTATAATTATAGCATATAGGGTGACCTAACTGAAATACACAATTTTCATGATTTCATGATTTATGATTTTTTTTATTTTAATTTTAAATGTATTTAACTAATATAAGTCTGTACGATATATAAGTCTGTATTGGTCGACTAATGAATCACACGTTACACAGGAATGTATCCCTATCCACTCACAAAGATGAGCTCTTTTAAGCACACATTTTGCAAAATACATTAATTAGTGATTAACATAAATCCGACTTAAAATATAAAAAGAAAGCACACATATATGGTTACCAGAAGCTTCTCGCATTTATCTTAAATTTCGGAAAAAGCATTTAACAATTATAATATAATATAGTGATCTTAAACTATATCTGTTATCAGTATCACCAAAAACAAAATTTTCTATTTCCTAAAACCACTAATGATGAGTACTTGACAATACTCGAAACAGCTTTGTATGGTCAGCCAAATTTCAATAAATTATCTAAATTTTTATTTTGTCTTTTCTTTGCTATTTAAACCTCTCTAACTTTTAATATATTTTATATAAAACTAGTAGATGACCCGGCGAACTCTGTTCCGCCTTAAAGGCAATAAATAAGCAGTTTTTTTTTAATTGGAAAAAATACAAAAAAAAAAAAATACCTACATTAATCATTCATAATTTATTTGTGTATTTTAGTACACATCGCAAATTATCTATTTGTTGACCTCTGTTGTTCGCTCGACCTTCAGTCCTTAAATTTGCAGTATTTCGTATTCTTCTTGCATTACGGCTTTGTCGGGAAAGATTCGATCGTCTTGGTCGTGGCATTATTAAAAAACTAAAAACTCAAATGTTCAACCATACCATACATTATAATTGTTAATTATTTATTTTGTTGAGTTTGCAACAACCAGGTAGTTTTATTGATTAAAAACGATATTTATTGCAACACAAACTTATATTGATCTAATACAACTTTTAAAAACACATTAACTAAGTTATATTTCTATCTGTTAAATTTTAATAAAATATTTTCTTATATCAAAAATTTGATAATTTCAAAACCTACTTTGTCGTGAACGGGATAAACAGGTATCCTATGTCCTTCTCCTGGCCTTAAACTACCTCCCTGCCAATTTTCAGCTAAATCGGTTCAGCCTATATCCTTCTCCTGGCCTTAAACTACCTCCCTGCCAATTTTCAGCTAAATCGGTTCAGCCGTTCTTGAGTTATAAGTGGTGTAACAATAACACATCTTTCTTTTATATATATAGATAACTTAATAACTTTTCTGTTACAAAGTTCAATAATACTCGTAAAGTAATTATAATAATACATAATTTTGGTGTTAGAATTTAAATGTTACTCATAGCCTCAACCTCCTTTCTCATACTTCCAAATTCTTAGCGATATAAGTTGAAGACATTATTCATAGAATTTTGGTCCTATTAGTGACTGTACATCCAAAAAAATCACATAACTATTTTGCCGTACAATTGTTACTAGATCATATTAGTGCTCTATTTGATTAAAAAAAAGGTACTAGGAAATTCAGGGATCATAAAATATTTAGGCAAATTTAAAGTATTATCATTAATTAGTAACAAAACAAATATATTCTATATTTAATAATCAGAAAATAATTATTATAATGCAGCATACAAAATTCAATATTCTTGAAATTCCGCTCTAGTCCTATGTTACTTATTAAAGTAATCTTTCTCATCTGATTTATAATAAGTATAAATTGAAATATACTTCATATACTTCAGCTAATTTAATTTTATTTAATTCATTGTTAGGTTAATTAATTTAAACGAATTTAGAAAAAAATGCCCGATATCGAAATAAATTCGGTTTATTGCAAAAATAAGTATACTATATATTTTTGTTTCTTCTATACTGAGCAAAATCAATCTGTGGAGAAGTATTTTCAAGCATATGGTATATCATTTAGTCTAACAACATAACAGATTGCTTTAGGAATCATTCCCACCAACTAAATACTTTTTGGTCACATGTTTTGGAAAGGGGCCTGTGTTATTATTTCCATTGAACTGAATTTAAAGTAAATTAATCCATAAAATTAAAATCGATTTCGTACGACTGACGTCAAGATTTGCTCAATTTTAGTAATATTTTTATGGGCTCTTCAATTATGTTTACTGCTATAGGTATTTCTCAACACACGTAATCCAGTGCTTGTGTCGCCTTAATGATATCTGCTTTCGTCAAGCGCTTCCATATCCTAATCAGTAAACACACATTATCTAAGCGTTAACTTTATAACCACAAATCGCATTAGTCCAAAACCATAAACAATAAAACTATTTTTGGTTGAAATGTTTTAAATGAGATTTTGACTGATTAATAAACAACGAATGCATGTATAATTAAATAATAATAAATTAAAAAAAAAATTGATAATTATTTACAATGCACTTATTCGCTTACTTTTCAGATTTATGCCTCCCATAACTCCGTCAACATGGAAAAATATACGCAATGCCGACAGGTTTTCCCCAGTTTGTCCTCAGACTGTACCAATTCCACCGAATGGACCTGAAGCGTTATTGGAAGTGCCACGAGCTCGTTTAGCACAACTTCGACGTCTGCTGCCATTGCTTAAAAATCAATCGGAAGACTGTTTATATTTAAACATATATGTTCCATATGAAAATCGAAGACATCTCCGTAAGTTATAGGCATTGTATTTAATGAACTTATTTTTCATTGAAACCTAAATATTTGATTGGAAGTCCTCAATTCCGTAGTGCATTGCAGTTTGCAATTATTTATTACTGCAAGCATTGCGGAAGTGATGCCTATCAGTTGACAAACATCAGTTATATTTATAATTAATACAAAACAATATATAAATATATGATAGAAATTTTTATAGAAAATATAAAGTCTGTTGTAAAAATTTATTTCGGCTTGAATGTTTATTTTGTATATGCATTTAAAGGTTCCACGATTAACAGCGCTGAGAGAAACGATGAACCTAAATTATCAACGATTCTTTTCATACATGGTGAATCATATGAATGGAACTCCGGTAATCCATACGATGGCTCTGACTTGGCAGGTCACGGCAATGTAATTGTTGTTACCATAAATTTCCGTTTAGGAATTTTTGGATTTCTCAAAACCGGCGGCAAAGAAAGTGCGCAGGGAAACTTTGGTCTTATGGATCTAGTAGCTGGCTTGCATTGGTTAAAAGAAAATCTTCAAGCATTTGGTGGAGATCCACAAAGTATTACAATTTTGGGTCATGGATCTGGCGCTGCTTTAGCTAACATTTTGGTTGTATCACCAGTTGCCAGTGGTGAGTAATTTAAATAAAAACGCTCTACATTTCAAGAGAGATATATTATTCCAAATTTCGAGAGAACCTAAAATGAAAGTTTATTATTTTTTGTCTTTAATAAAAGTCTTTGAATTGTACGGTCGTGTGCGGAACTTTCTATTTATTTCTAACATGCGTTGCGGGCCCAGGACGCTTTATTTATACATTTAAATTTACTAATATATCTGCATATCTCAACAGTATTTAGATGAATATAGTTTAATTTTTAAATATACCTCATAGATCTTCATAAGACTATATAGCATTTTCAATATTTTTTTTATTTCATAACGTTTTAATATATAGTATTGGGAATTATTGTTGCAGTTCAAATCTTGTTGGTATAGCAAGATTCCCATAACTACTCTTACATGCGTTCTATTATGCCAACTCCAAGCGCTCAAAAGAATTCTGGAAACGAATTTATTTATAAAGTCTGCAAACTTACATAGAGATCCCCATATCAAGAGTTTAGCTATATACACATAAGACAAAGTATCATCGGCTTGCTTTCCACCACTGCCCTCTATTTGCTGAAGAACAACATCAACAACTTGTGGCAGATACACATACATTCTTACAACACCAATTTGAAAACTTTTCGTCATGTTGCCAATGTATCAATAACCAAATTCACACACATAATGGCGTGAAGCAGCTCCGGGTACCAACTTGAAATTCACATTCACAACACAACCCACACTTGTAATTGAGATGTCGATACAAAATATCGATTAACTCCATAAAAAATTTCTATTGGTAATGGTGATACCAATAAAATTATATATGTCTTACAATTCTATATATTTTGTTTCAGGGCAATCATCTGGTTGTAGCGATTAGAATTGACGTTAATGTGACATTTCTATCATTTTTTAAAAAGCACTGAGCTATCACACTTTTAGATGAGATCTACACTCTACAGTGACTTTTTGTACTTGGAATAGTCTTTTCGCAATTACTTGTTAATTTTCACTCCCTTACTGCTCTAAATAAGACAAATTTGTGTATTGAAATATCCATCAATTGGAAAAAGAGCATCATTCCTGACAAAAATTCGATGCGAAATGTGTCTATATATCTATCTATCTACTATCTACTATAGAATCACCATTTTTGTAGTAGTTTTGATAAGTAACCTTCGAAATTTTAATAATGCAGCGGTTGTTAAACGATCCATATTGTAAAAGGAAAAATCCTTCACTAAGTATATGATAATTGAAATGGATAACCCCTCTTTTAGCACAACTAAAACATTATTTTAAAATATTATACAGTCAGTATTGGTTTTATGAAGAGCACAAATACGCACACAACTGTTTCCTCCTTTTGTAAACATTTTTTTGACCAACACAAGCCTATTAGTATGAGTACACCTTTTTTACTTTATTCCAGATCTTGTTCAAAGAACAGTCATGGTTAGTGGATCGGCGCTCTCACCTTGGGCAATTCAAAAGAATCCATTATTCGTTAAACGAAGAGTCGCCGAACAGACTGGTTGCCATGGTGATATGCTCTACGATGACTTAGCACCGTGCTTGCGTACAAAGAGCGTCAATGAGTTGTTGGCTGTTAAAATTGACCACCCAAGGTGCTATATGAGTTATATAATTTGTGGTTATTACTATAAACTATTTTTGTAAATAGATTTTTAGCTGGATTTGCACCATTTGTAGATGGTACTGTCATATCACCAAATGCCGATCCAATTGGAGCAATAACACTGCCATTGGGCTCAGCCATTGTTAGGTAAAAATTTCAAGTCATTATATACATATAATAACATAATATCCATTTTGTCGTACTTTAGTATTTCAGGAATTGAATATGCAAACTTCCCGAAACGTGATCTCATATTCTGCCTCACATCTATCGAATCATATTTGGATTTGAGTGCACAAGATTTGGAGTTTGGCTTTAATGAAACTAGACGTGATCGTATTTTAAGAACTTTTGTTCGTAATAATTTTCATTATCATTTAAATGAAATTTTTGCTGTACTTAAGGCAAGTACCCATATATGATGTTGAAATAACACAATTTTCATATTAAATCGTATTCTTTCAGAATGAGTACACCGACTGGGAAAAAGCGATACGTAATCCGTTAAGCTCAAGAGATGCAACTCTGTCATTTCTTAGCGATGGCCACACTGCCTCAGCATTGATAAAGCTTGGCTATATGCATAGTTTACGTGGCGGTCGTAGTTATTTTTTACATTTTAAGCACAAAACAATAGAGGAAGAGTATCCACAAGTTAGTGCTTAACTTCTTAAATAACCTTCAAAACTGAACTCATTTATTTTCCAGAGAACCGGTTCTGTTCGTGGTGAAGATGTGCCTTTCTGGTTAGGACTACCTATTTCGCCACTGTTTCCACATAATTACACAACTCAGGAAAGACAAATCAGCCGTCTTATGCTGCGGTATTTAGCGAACTTCGCTAAAACAGGGTAAGATATTTTTTTTTATGCCAAAAAATAAGTTTGGATTAAATTTGGATGTCTTAATTTTTAATATTTTTTTAGAAATCCTAACCACTCTACACAAACATCTGTGTTATCAACGCCAACGTCCACAGCTGCTTTACGTCGCCAAATACCAGAGCGTATGCGTGAGCTGGATTTGCAACAAGAGTACACAGCTGGTATAGATCACATGAAAGTGAAGCGTTCCTCGCAAAAATCTGATTCAATTAACAAATACCTAAATTTGACTGCTACCCGAAATCAGCGAACTATTAACGCAGCTGTAAGAGAAGCTTTCAATTTGGCCATACTCTACAATCAGCGCCGAAGCAATGGCATGAGAGATAAGCGTATCAACCATAAACGGCGAATGCGTAGTAATGAAGATCCAAACTTATTTAATTCAATAAATAACTTTGGTGAAATCGATCAGGATCACCTGCCCTTTTGGGATGCTTATGATGTTGTCAATCAATTATATTTGGAATTAGGTACTTAAGACAAGAAGACTGAGGACATAAGTATACCGAAGTTGAATGTTCAATTATTGTTTCCGAAACCCAATTGACATTGCTATGTTTCTTCGTGTAGTGCAACAATGCCTACCCTATTATAAGATTTGGGTATTGGCTTTGCCAAAAAATCCATATCCTATATACACATTTCAATCAATTATATTCTTTTTATCATGTACACAGACAGTTCTTTTTCCTTATTCTTAACTTGAACCACCTGGACTCGAAAATCGTATCTTTGCAATATTAAATTAAAATTAAATTTTTTATAAAATTAAATTTTATAAAACACCAACAAAAGGGCACACTTGTCTAGATCCACCGACATCGGTTAATTGATGCATCTCATCATACTTCTCAATAATATTTAAGGGTATTAGAGCCCCCACATCTCTTATACTGCGTAACCAACAAATTTTGCAAGTTAATTTTATCTTTTATTTTCAATGATGAAAAAGGTTTGAAAATAAAAGGGATTAGTTTGATGACTAAATAGAATGATAGATTCAGCAATGGATTGTTTTCTAATAAATTGGGTATTAGTGTCTCTACTACCTGACCATTGCGATAGCTTTCAGGCAGAGGTAGTGACAATTCACTAAGTAGCAAAATTGTTGCCATTTAGCTGCTATTTAGTTTCAGATAGACATTAGAGCTGCTTTTCTTATAGTGCAAAAATATTGAACTTTTCTTAAAGAGTTGTCTGGGCTTATTCAACTTATACGGGTAACTGGTCAAAAAGACGTCTCGGGTACCTATAAAGCAAGAAGAACTTGCTAAAGTTAACTCTCTCCAAAAGTCGCAGTCGCAGTCCACCTTTTAATGGCTAAACTAGCAGTTAAAAGAAAATTTCTGGTATTTTCAATAAAAACCTGGGAGAATGAAATTCTTGTCAGATCACAAGACTCATCTTCTTTATTCAGTTGGCTTGAGTCGGCTGCCTCAATCAATGTAGTGCAACGGTGTTGGTGTTGAGAGAACATTAAATATTAGGAGGGTATGCACTATTATTAACAAGATTTCTCGGGACTCTCCCCCTTCAGATGAGGAGAGAACTGTACTCCTTCTGATATATTCATGTCCATCATTGGCTAAAAGAATATTAAAAATTGTTCAATCCCATTTTCTTACTGACCTGCTTGAGCTGTCTTCTTTCAGTATAAGGAGTATAAGGGAATTTTTTTCGTATACTAGTTGTGTAGGACATCGACTTTTTGGTTAGCTCTTTAAATCTGGTGTACGGAGAATATTCACATTGCATTTTTTCTCTCAGAGCCGTAATAGATTCACAAATGAGTTCTTTTAACATTTTCTCCCGGAACCATAGAATGAATAATCCTGTATTTATTATAAAACCTTTCTTTTTATTTGGAAGAGTTTTTAAGCAATTTTAACTTTTGTAGAAATGTTTAATGTGAGCTCACGAAATTATAGTGACAAGTTTTAAAATTAATTGACTACAGAAGACCTCAATAAAACTAAAACTATTCTGAACGATATCTGAATAAATAGTTTAAGTTTTGTTAAGCTCAGCTTGCAAAATACTCCACATCGAGAAGTCAAATGGTTCCTAATAACTACTGTGCAATACAAATTGAATGTAGATTGTAGATTGGATGATTGAATGTGCCTTTCTTAGTTGACATGAGCTCTTTGTGATAATACAGAATTCTGTTGAAACGTCCGCTTTCTTATAAAGAAATATTTGTTTGCCAATGGCTTTAGAGCACACCTTAAAAATTCTTCTTATAGACATTTAAATATCTAAATTTGCCATATAAAATTCCATATACCTACCATATACCTCACAATTAAATATTGATTGAATATTAGATTAACTGCATTAGTCTTTATGTCATATATTACTAATATTTCCATTATTTCCATAGGTAATAAGGCGGAAGTACAAAGCCATTACAGAGGACACAAACTTTCAATGTGGCTAAATTTAATACCACAGTTACACACACACTCAAATATAAATGATCAGTCTATGCGACATCATCAGTTTCCAGATGATATAAATAGTCGAGATTTATATGATGGTGAGAATTTCTTTTAAAACTAACCACAACTATAAGATTTGTATTTACTAAACTCTTTGCTTTGCTAACTCATACATGGACTCAAAAAAATCAATTTCTTTGTAGGCGTGGTGCGTCCACAACTGCAAACAAAGCCTGCAGATGATGAAGATACTGTGGTAATTAAAGCAACAAAAACAACACCAGCGCCTAAAGTAGCTAATGTAACAACTAAGCCACATTTAAACAATGAGCTAATAGCTATGGTAACCACAGGTAAATTGAATCTTTTCACTTAGAAAAAAGTGTATATGGTAAAATGCATTTTTTCCAGAATGTGGTATCGATGGTGTACTTTATATGTCAGAGCCCACAACACAATCGCCAACCGACAATCGCTCATTGGTTGAAACACAAAAAGACTTAGCGACAGCATCCACTGGAATTATAGGCAACTTAGAGGTGTTGCGTCGTCTAAGCGGCAAACAGTTTCAAAGCTACACGACTGCTCTCATAGCTACCGTGGCAGTGGGATGTTTTCTACTTATTCTTAATGTATTGATTTTTGCGGGTATCTATCATCAACGCGAAAAGAGAGCGCGTGACGCTAAAACAAAAGAAGAATTGCAAGACAATGATAATAGCAAAAATTCTAGTATACTAAAGCTTAATGCAGCAGGCATCGCAATTGGCGATAGTGAATCTTTCAGCAGTGGAAAAACGACAGTCGTATTTGGAGAATACAATTGCTACGATGAGAAAACAAAACAATCTAAAGATGAGAAACTAATTGTAGACTTACCACCACAGAGTGCACACTTATTAGATGCAAATAATTGGGCCTGTTCGACGAGTACTTTGGATTTATTGAAAACCAAACATCATAACACCGTCGATGTTAGTGGATTTACAATAACTACTGAACAGACCGATCTCCATTTGCATCCTATTAATAACATGGAAATGGTTACCTATAATGCAATACCAATAACCACTGTTATCGATACGACATCGTTACAAAATAAGCGCGGTTCTTTTGTCGATACTTCCAATCATCTGAGTCAGTTTGATTATGCAGTACAATCTTCGGATCAATTATCATTCAAAGAAATTGAAAATGCTGTAAAAGCTGCATCGGAGGACATGGTTCATGATATGGATGATGATATACCAGAACCACCTCCGCCGCCAAAATCATTTCAAAATATCCAATTACAACAACAACAGCAGGCAGGTATATTGCGTCAATCAGGGTCAAGCTCTATCTCAACAACTGGCAGCAAAAAACGTGTACATATTCAGGAAATTTCTGTCTGATTGGAATCAAATATGGATTTAGTTTAGTTCTAGTTTAATTAGTATCATTTCTCAAAAGTCCTTAGTGAATTCCTGTGTTCCACTCGTTCGTAGTTAAGTTCTAATTTTATAGTCATATTTTTTATAGACAATTCGAGTGTGTATATTATGTAAATGTGTTCTATGTGTACAACTATATATTATATATATATACATATATATATATATATATATATACTATATTATACGATTAATGTAAAAATCCTCAGTTAATAAATTCAATTAATTCTATTGCTTGTTATTTAGCATTATAAATTATCATATATTGTACTGTATTATTGTAAAGTGTAATAATTATTATTATTATTATAATTATTATTATTATTGTATTACTAATAATGATGTTTAAATTTTATTGTAAAATTACTGGAAGATTTACATACATACATACAAATGTAATTATTATTATTATTTATATAGTAGGTATATGGTGACTATATTAATGTATGTGTAAGCAGATTCAGATTAAACATTTTTTTGGATACTAATAAATTTATATTTATTGTTGGTTCCAAAGTATTAAAACATTTGGAATTTTACTACATTTCGACTCATCATTTATTTATGTCCTTTACACATAAAATCAATCGGTCAAACGGTGTAGCTGATCTGTGCCATTGAACTGCTATGAGTACTCAACACTCAAGCCATACTCCACTGCTGTATTTCACGCATACTGACTCTCTTATTCGTACATTTGACTCCACTTGACTCATACATACAACTGAGAGTATTAATAATGATTTATACTCTTCACTTCTCAAGATGTTCGAAATATAATAGAAGATATGTCGCAAACCTTATAAACTATGAATCATAACAAAGAAGAGCCGAGAAGGATACAATAATCAGTTTTTAAAAAAATTGAAATAATTATAATCAATGATTATTTATCATTAAATCCTGAAAAAAAATAAAAAACATAAATCATAAAACAAAAATAAGTACCCACACATTCGCCACTATTTAGGCAGGACATGAACCTCTCTTTATTATGAAATATTACTTCGAGTACATATCATTGACTATGCCCATAATATCTACATTATTTCTGTTGAGGATAATGAAACGAACCAATTTACAAGAAGTGCGAAGTGCAGTAAAAGAGATGTCAAAAGCCTTTTAGACTAAGATATAGTTGTAGAAGAAATTTGGTTCAAGAAGGAAGCTGCCACCAGCCACATAGCACGGGATATATAAGCTTTATTGCGCGAGAAATTACCTAGATCTTGTATAGTAATTTCACGGCTGAATTTTAATTTGTCCCATTACATAAAGGTTTGTGTTTATGTGGGCGATCCGAAACAATTTATAGCCGAGGTATTGTCAGCTACGTGTAAGTTGTTCAATTCACATAATGGAGTTGTATTTCATTTTATCTTTTTTGTTTACTTGACATTTACTTTCGAAGCACAAAATGGATAACCCTGTATTTTTCACTAAATCTTTTTTTTTATTTGGAAAGTTATGGCTCATTTTTCACTATTTACTTACTTAGTTGGCCATTACGAACGTGATCGGGACGTGTTGGTCGTGTCTAGCTGCTTAATAAGAAGGCAAAATGAGCCATTGTGGACCCACAAGAATAACATTGGTACGTACATAGATTGAAAGATCAGTATACAATCAACGTTGGAAAAGGTAACGACTCCTCCATTAGGTAAAGGAAAACCACTCCGACAATTTTATAAATTTGGCCAAATTCCTAATATTACAAGACAACAACTCGGTCAAGCCCCGAAAGTTTTTAATCTTCTTGTAGCTTCTTCTAACTTCTAACTTCTTCTAACTAATATATGAGATGGAGTATGGTCTCCTCCTCATCCTCAAAGTCACAGCCGCGACAAAAGTCATTATAGCATAAAGCGAGTCTCATAACATACCTTCCTATTTCGCAGTGACCCTTCAGTACAGGTACATTAGTGCTGAGGAAGTTCCGTTTCTAGACTATGTGAACAATTTGACCTATTTGCTGGCTAAGCAATCATTTTATATATTTTATTTTTCTTATTATTTCATAATTAAATTATTATTTGCGTTAATGATTATCTCTCTTTAGCGGTACCAAATATTATTGGCGTAATTTAATATTGACGTATTTGATAAAAATGTGTTAAAGTTTGCAGAGATTTTCTTACCTGAATCCGCAAATGAAAACGTCATAATTAACAAAAAAAATTAAAATTTTAATATAAAGTAGATACTCTAATTAGTTAAGCAATTGGTTCCGAATAATAAGGTATTTTGAAGGAAATCATATTTGAACCAAAAATATTGTAATAAAAATTAAATTCTATATAGTAAATATTTTATAATAATTTTTTTCAAATTATGAATATTAAGTAAAATTTTAAGTTAATAACGTTCACTTCACATAGTTTTAACTTTTACATCCTCAGCCATATTATATTAAATAGTTACAACTTATAATTTCTAGTAAAAATATTAAAGATATTTGGTTAACTTATTGTGTTAATGAACACAACGGTTCAATATATATATACTTGCTTAGTTGATCATAACAGCCGTGAGTCGTTCTTGATCGTGTATAGTACCCTTTCCCAGTTAACCCGATCAGTGGCTTGCTGTTGCCAGTTGGTAGTTACGAGTGACCCTAAAAGATTGATTACCTGGTACTTCTACCAAAGATGACGACGTCCTCTACTGCGCTTTCCACCTGCGAGTACCGAATCAAACATTTTTCCAAACAGACCAATTCATCCATTCGCCCGACATGACCAAATCAGCATAGCCGCTGAATTATTGTGCACTCAACTATGTCAATGACACGGTATATAGCTTATACAGCTTATCATTCCATCTAATTCAATACTCGTTGCCAACGCGTAAAGGATCATAGGTCTTCCAAAGAATTTTTCTCTTGAATGCTTCTTATGCCATCTCGTCAATGTTGGTAATTATCCAAGCTTCTGCTTGTAGAGCATGATATTTGTGTATTAAAAGGGGGTTTTATTTCTCAATTGCCTACTTAGCCCGAAGTAACATCTGTTGGCAAAAGAAATTCCTCGTTTTTTCTGTAGTCTGGGCGTAGTCAGCATGGGCGTTTAGGCCTACAATATAAACATCATTGACATAAGCAATAAGCATCATATTGTTGTAAAATATTGTAACAGTACGGTTCAAATCTGTTGCCCAGATGATCGTTTCCAACATTTGATTGAGGGTGTCACATGACAAGGAGTCACGCTATCTAAGCCCTCGATTGGTGTAAAATAGTTCAAAGAGGTTCTTCTTAACCCTAACGGATCTGATAGTGTTGCTCAACGTCATTTTACATAGCCATATAAGTTTTACTGATATACCAAATTCTAACATATCGGCATAAAGAGTGCTTTTAGTGGTAGTGTTAAAAGCGTCTTTGAAAATGACAAATAGATGATCTGTGTTGATTTGTTGTTCTTGGGTCTTTTTCTAGATTTAACGCACTGTGAATATCTAGTTTAGGGTGGATGATGTGGTTTGAAGCCACACTTATAAGGTCCAATCAGTTGGTTGACGATTGACTTCAGTCTTTTACACAGCACGTTTGACAAAACCTTATATGCGATATTTAAAAGACTGATCCCTCAATAATTGGCGGAGTTTGCAAAATCAACTTTCTTGTGAATTGCACAAAACACATTTAAATTCAAATCGTTGGGCATGCATTCATCGGACTTTAGCTCTTCGCTATCAGCTTTAAACAACTCTGCGGGTAAACCATCGACATATGTTTCATCGTCAACGATCAAAAATCGCCTCAGTTTTTAAGTCAATTAAATTATCTTTTGTGAAAATATTTTAGTGAGTTCACGCAATTATAGTGACAAATTGGAAAATTAGTTGACTATAGAGGAGCTCCATACCGAGAAACCGAATGTGACCTAGTGACCACTAGTGTTATCGAAATTAAATACAGATCGTGAATTGGATCGTCACATGTGCCATTCTTAGTAGACGTGAGCTTTTTAGGATTGTACATGATTCTGTTGAAATGTTCATTCTCTTATAACAAAATAGTGGGTTGCAAATAACTTAAAAGCACAAATTCCAAAACTTTTTTGCATGCCAAACCATCACAAACACTGATGCTTATTTTGTTATAGATATTAAAGTATCTAAATTTTCAAACGTCCTCTTGATAAGTAAAGTCTATCGTTTTGTTTGTTAACGAATTACTCCATTTTGACATTTTTCCTTTTTCTTCTGGAGAAGGCGATATGCAGCAATTGAATGCATTCTTTTAGGCGCAACTTTCCTTCACTCTATTAAATCTAATTTTATTTTAAACATCAGTGAAATATTTTCAAAACTTTTAAAATTTCACTTTGAATCCATTTTTCAATCCAATTGTTGCTTAATCTGAAAGCTTTCATATATGGGTGTATCCAGATTCTAATTTGATTCTAACTTAAATCTTCGTTTTATGTTTTGGATCATGTGATCCAAGCTGTCTGGGATGACAGCATTATTAGATAAATTTTGATAGTTGCTTAAGTGTTATATGTTTTTGTTTTGTAAATATGAGAACATTACTAAAGCAAATGGTACCACAATAGTGATTCAATACTATAAGAACATATTCAGTAAGTTAGTATCATTAGTTGATATAAAAACTATTTTTTTTATCGGTTCCTTTTAATCATTATTGTGATATACTTGATCCAAACTAAGTAAACGTTTTAAATATTCTTTGTTTAAAAGTTACATGACAACTTCCAGACTCTAGAAAACATCATTAAACTCGTATTTTGAGGAAACTGACTTATAATACTCTTTCTACTCCTTATATGCATTTGTAGTCATAATATACTTGCTGTTTAATCTAATTTAAAATGATTTTTAAAGAAGTCCTTTTAAGAGTCAGTAGCTATTTTAATTAATATTTGAGAAAAGAAAGTTATATAAATAACTTTGGGCAATTGTCTGTCCGTCCTCATAAAATTCCGAATATTTTCATAAAAACTCCTTCGGAAATTTCGGAAACAAACTTAACTTAAATGAAAAATGAACTAATTAGTTTGTTTTTGGAAAATTACTCCATAAAAATTAATTACACATATGCATTGCAGTTGGTGATACTTCCATCGCATATGGAGTTTAAAGTCCATTTAACATCGTAATTAGGACTAGTAAAATCCTACAATTCAATTTCAACAGTCTTAGAAGAAAGTTGTAAAAATCTTGTTGCAAAAAGATGTTGATGCACTGCAGAATATTAAACTAACACCTATCATCTTATTCTCACAAAAATCTGAAGTAGTCGATGCTTTTATGTTGCGTAATTCCAGTCCCTATTACCAGGATATCATTCTTTTGTTAAGTAACAAACATTTCAATGGACTCATACATGTAAAAATGCTGTTCATCGTTCTAAATAATCTGACATTATTCTAACGTTCCTTTCACTTCCCGAAATCTATAGTCATCAAATAAGCTCTATTTACTTGCGTCCCGCTTTTTGTACAGCGTAATCTGAAAGCGTCCCAAATCTAGTTTTCAATCCGGATCCAAATAACCGCATCATTTTTGCGCTTATCATGGATTTAAGTCACGTTCAAACTAACATGATACCTCAAGCCAGGATAAACTGTAGTTATATATTAAAAAGCTCAGATCGTACTCACATCGAGGCTAATAAAAACTCCTACCGTAATTTTCAAAAGGTGAACAGGGATCTATTCCGTGGCTTGTCTAAATGGGACCTTTGTAATTTAAATTTACTTTTTAATGCTAACCAGACAAAGAAAGTATGTGAACCTATTATAATTTTTTCAGGTGACACAACAGTTCTTGGTGAATTAATGGTTCTTTGGCAAAAGTTTCCCGGTCAATGGTTATCAATGCTTATTGATAACCATCGTCATGTAAAAAAGAAAGTATATTTAGATAATTGCTACCAACACAACAGTGAATTGGATAGCAAACTAGCGTCAAAACTTCATCTTATTCTAAATAAAATTAATTATTTAAGAAAGATAGAATTTTTCTTTCCAATAATTTTACCTCTATAAACTCCGCAGCTAAACAATGTCATATAGAAAGACATTTTTAGGATTTCCACTATTTTGATCCCATCTGAAGATTTTAGGCGAAATCTGTGATGCTGCTTGTAAAATAAAACTATCAGCAAATATCCAAGCATTTCCTTAGTGATATATTCTATTGTGACTATTATTCCATATCTTCTTATTATGTGTCAGAAAGTGACGTATTCTAATACAACTATCAGTCCATATCTTTCCATCATGGATACGAAAATTACGATAAAAAGGAAATAATTTCTGACATTGGTTGCTCACAAAGGTTGCACACTACCACAGTAACCTCTTCAAAATCTTAACTTGATAGTGTTAGGTCTCAAACATCAAAACGATTACCTAAGATAATAAAAATTGTTCTGTCCCCAATTATGTCAGGATATAGTCATGTACTATATAAAGACTTATCACAAATAAGCCAGTCTATTTACAATGTATGCATGAACTGTAGTTTTACATCTTCTAATGTTGTCCAGTTACCTTGGCAGACAAAACTATACTGAACTTCTGCTTGCGGAGCCATGTTGTAGTTGTGACCCGCTGGGACCTGTAAGCAGATAACATGAAAGGACACACACGACAATTACATGAATAGGGAAGTGGGTGGGTAGAGGTTAGGGGAGATGAAGGGAGAGGAAGAGGAGGATGTGGAGAAATTGGGTGAAAGGTTTATACTGAATATTATCACGGATATAGGCAGAGAAACCTGGCCACTGCAATAGGATGACTCCCAAGGCTAATTGAACGAAGAACAGGCGAACAGTTGGGCGACGTCACGGGGAGAAGAGCCACAGTTAGCGCACACATTGGTGATGGATGTGTTTATGCGTGACAAGTAACTGTTTAACACTCGGCTATTTTTTGATCTCAATTGAGCTAGGACAGTTCTTGCTGCACAGGGGTAAACACGTTCTTCCGGGGAGATTTCAGGCGGAGGCCTATTAAGAACCTTGTTGTCTGATAACCTAGGTCTTGTAAAAGATACTGCATCTGTGTGAAGCACAACACAACAACACTACAGAAATAAACGCAGGTTGAAATTTACTGAAACATTTGCATTAATTTTAATTTTAATAAAATTAATATTTTATATACAATCATATGAACTGCCAAGTTCACAATATATAAATAAAACAAATTATCAAACATATATATGTATATATATTAAAATAAGCTTAAATAAATTACATAAGAATTTTAAAACAAATATATCGTTCATATGTAAAATAAAATCTATAAGATTTCTATTAAAATATATCGCATACTTTCTACAAAAGAGACACAAATCCACTTATTGAATTTTATATACAGTTTTAAAATTTGCAGGCAATTTGCATTAGTGCTCACGATAACTTGAAAGATAGTAGTTCTATAGATAGTAAAGATTAATTAATCTTAATTCATTCAGCATATAAACTCGAAAAGGTAGAACTTCGAGTTATGTGACTTTGCAGAGGATGTGTGGTATGTTTTTCACCAGCAGGCATGACTTACTAGAATATATTGTTGCAGATGCAGGGTTACATGCCAACTTGTCATCTTATTGCATATATATTGAGTGCACACACAAATAATACATTTGCTTAATGTTATTGTTTATCTAGTATTGACATCAAATCTCTATTTATAACTTCTAGTCTATATATATACAATCTGTGTTCCCATTTACTTTAAGTTTGGAATCGTTTTGTGCTGTACCATTTGTCAATGATTCCTTTTTAGATTTTTTCTTTGCTTTTTTAGTTTTTAATTTTATTTGAAAAGAATTATTTTCATGTGTGGAGCAATCCTCGCCACTGTCTACATTTATAGACACGCATTTTGATGTAGTTAAGTCTATGCTAGTATCTACACTGTCATCCAATGAAGCACTTTTATTTTTTTTCTGCTTTTTGGTAACTGATGTTTCCAATTTTTTATGTTTCACTTTATGTTCGTTACTGGTCTCCACAATTGTGCTGGAAGCATTTGGCGTTTCCTCCGTTTCTGCTTCTATAACTATACTTTCATTCAAGTTTTTATGTTTTGTTTTCCGTTTTTTAATATTTTCGCTAGTAATATCTATACTTTCATCCAAGTTTTCATACTTTATTTTCCGTTTTTTGATTTTTTCGCTAGTTATAGAATCACTACCAGATATGCTGAAACTATCTTCCTCTGCTTTGATTTTAAAATCTGTCGTTTCTATAGATGAGGCCGACAATTTACGTTTTCCATTCCTTGGTGTCGTATTTAACATATTCTTGCGTTTTTTACTATTTGCAATAGCAGTTTGCTCATTAATTAAAGCCACTAATTCATCTAAATCTTGAGTCCCATTTCTGATTTCATCATCTTTTGAACTAACATTTTCTTCAAATGTAATTTTTTTGACACGCTCCTAAAAATATAAACAAATATTTAGGTTTTTTCACATATTGCCATATCCTACTTACCTTTTTAATGGTTTGAGTTTCAATATGATTTGGCAATTCACCAACTATGTAAGGAAAGATGTTTTGCAAATCAAAATCTTTTATTCGAAACTGAAGTTCCTGATCCAAGCATACTTGACTTTTATCAATTTTAACATTGAATCGTATCTGAGCACTAAAAACTTTATATATTGTTACACCAACAATTTTATCACCCACATATTTGACTAAACCATTTACCAAAGCTCCTGCTGCTGGGCGAAACACGTAAAAATCAGCATTTAAATCTATGTGCAAATGTGGATCGTTGGCACGTAGAGCTGCTGCAGAGTTCAGTAACTTTATATTTCTCACATCCAAAACAATTCCTTCAACTTGTGCATCGTAGAAGCTCACCTTTTTCCGTATAATATAAAGCAGTAAGTGCCGCTTGAAGTTCTCCATGCTGTACGGTAATATTGATATATGAAAATTGGTGTTGATTTTATGTACACACGAATTAGGTGAATTCAGATATTCTTCTAACTCTTTTAGAGTATAATTAGCATGTTTTTTTAACCTAATATCAGCCATATTTACTAATAATTCATTGCTCTTTTGGACAATATTTACGCGTGCTGTAATGTCAAAAACGAAAAGGTCGTTCAGTGGGAGAGAAATTCAAGTTTGTATGTATGTATGAGCAAACAAACAGCTGTTCTATTATTATCGGCGTTGGCAATACGCAACAACTACACAGAGTTTACAATCAAGGCTTTCCCCAATTAACCAAATTTATGTGTGGTACGTAATTGATTTTCTTTACAATAATGGCAAAGTGAGCAAAATAAAACAAATAATATATAATTGGCTTTAATTAGGAGAACAGAAATATGACGTCGAATTAGATTAGCACAAAACTATATAATAAATTTCTAGATCTATTAAAAAAAGTTACGTTTATGACGTCATCACCATAAAATGTAATAGCTAAGCTATTTTTTTTTGAAACTATTGTGTAATAAATAATTAAGCACAAAATGTAGAATTCCTTAAGAGCTAATGGATTATATAATTGGGTCATATCATTTAACTCATAAAAATCACCTAACTGCATATTATGATTGCGGTCTAGTGACGGTAAATGTTGTTGCTTTGACACTTACAGATCACTTTATTTTGCATTAACGTGACTGCAATCATTACATGACTAAAATAAATGATTTTTAAATATTATTTCATTAAATTGCGTTCTTGTTTTAATTTTTGTAAGTATGTAGGCAATTGTCTTTTAAAATTGCCGTTGTATAAATTATTTTATATGCATAATAATTACTAAACAATTTTCGATATTTGAATATTTAATTGATATAGAAAATGTATATAAATGATTTAATATATCAGTTATATATATTTAAATATTCAATTAATAACAACAAAGATTTTTTAAATACTTACTTCCTCAGTGCCTTTGTTTACAGTTCAACTGTTGTTTGTTTACATTTTACATATAAAACATATGCCAAATATTTCAAATTTTGGTAATTTCCCTCGTGGGAAATTTATTTTAAGTATTGCATTCAACATTTTTTGCCTCAATGAGTTGATTTATTGATAATGAACTTATATATATGAAAGCTATTTGTATGGTACATTATCCTCATAAGCGGCGTTAAAGAGCAAAACCGCCTAAATAAGACAGTGTGAATGTGTCTTTTTAGTATATATATAGAATATATTAGCCGTGATTTTCTCTTTCAGAAAAGCAAAAATATACTCGCAACTCACGTAAAAAACATGTGCCATTTTACTATACATATACACTATATTAATCGTTAATTTCTGTTTCAGAATACAAAGAAATACTCGCAACTTACGAAAGAAAACATGTGAAGCAACAACAATGCTTTTCAAATCTTCAGAGTTAGGATTAACTCAAAAAATTTTACGTCGTATCTTTCAGTGCGGCCAAACTCAAAAATTAGTCTATTGTGAATGTTTACTGGAAATACATTGTGACCGAAAAGTTTCCGGTCACAATGTACAAACGCAAAATTCTTAATCTTCATCAATATTTATTTTATCTCCTTCAAAATATGCTCCATTAGAAGCGATACACAAATGCCAACGTTTCTTCCAATCATCAAAACATTTTTTATAGGCGCTTTCCGGTATGGCTTTGAGTTCCCTCTGCGAATTCTGTTTTTCGTCTTCTATGGATTCAAAACGCGTTCCTCTGAGTGGTAATTTGAGTTTGGGAAACAGGAAAAAGTCACACGGTGCAAGATCAGGTGAATACGGTGGCTGTTTGATGGTATTTATTGAATGTTTGGCCTTAAAATCGTTGATAATGTTGGCTCGGTGCGAGGGAGCATTATCGTCATGAAAAATCCATGAATTATCCTTCCACAATTGAGGCCGTTTACGGCGGATAGCTCTCACGACCGATGCCTAGCTCTCGTGCTATCTCTCTAACACTCACATGAGGATTTTGGAACACGATTTCCTTTGCCTTTTCAATGTTTTCGTCGGTGGTAGAGGCCGAAGGTCGTCCAGAACGCGGCATGTCTTCGACGGTCGTACGACCGTCCTGAAAGGCTTTGTACCACTCATAAACTTGAGTTTTCGATAAAACTGATTACCCATAAGCCTTTTGTAGCATTCGCAACGATTCTGCACACGAAATTTCGTTCGAAACACAAAATTTGATGCAAACTCTTTGTTCAATATTTTTTTCCATTGTTTTTTCGCAACGCACTACTGAGGGGAACTGGTTTCAACAGCTGCCGTAAACGAACTGTCTGACAGATCGCGCTCATTTTTGGCATAGTAATTAAGGACAGTGCTGCCAAACTACATAAACTTAAAATATCGAAAAATATACAGCGCGCGAATTTTAAATGAGAACTTCCGAAAACCTTTCGGTCACAATGTATGTTGCAAAATTTCAGTTTTCCGTTAAAAGCATATGAACATTTCATCAGAAAATAAATTCAAATGTATAAGTAAATAAACTTATTTCAATATATAGCATAAAAATGCTAACCATTGCCCTTATAATATTCATTTTGTTTTCTTCTATTTAAATTAATTAATTTTTAGTGTTTACAATTTTTATATATCATATTGTATACAACACAAAAAACATGTCAAAAAAAAATCATTTAATATATATTAAAAATGGTGCCAGTTTATTGCAAACAGATTTAGTGCTATTTTTTAACAACTCTGAAAGACAAAAATCACGGTTATGTTTTTTATTTTTTTTCGGGAGATTAAGAGCATTAAAAACCACACTATGAAAATTAAGCACACTAAAACCGCCTCATAGAAATACAAAATGTTTAAATTTTAGCTATTGAACAGAGAAAAACAAAGGTGAAACCTAATTCCAGTAGAGAGGCAGTCATTAAAATACAGTAGGCTTTATATTTAGTATTAGGCGTTTCCGGTGATTTGCAAGTTGGGAAAAGATGCATACTGACCTATATTCGCTAAGCAATACATTATCATCACTGTTGCAATCGGTCAAGAGTTATGTTTAGGCAAATACCAAAAATAACACAATGCAATCATATTACATTTTATATAAAAATAAATAATTAATATAAATTGAAAATTAAAATGAATATAAAATTAAAAGGAATGATACAAATATTAATAATTTCAAAATAAAACACTGAAATTTTTACTTTTTTTTTCAAATTTATAAAATTTTAAAATTTGTAAAATTTTTAATTTTATAAAAAATTTTTCATTTTGGTGTGAATTTTCTTTTACATATGATGTTTGACATACAATTGCAATATTCGTTGGAATTTTCAATGAAGATTCACAATAGTTCACTTAATGCGTTGGTAACACTTTTTCCTATACTGGCCGAAGTGTTTGACCAGTATACAACTATTGGCCTAGATAGAGAAAATAATGTTGTTGTTTACGTACATTTTAACCAATATAGGCAGGCAACTTGCTGTTTTTTGCCGAAAACGCCTATTATGTTTATATTTGACAATTTGCTGAATTTATGTATTGATACATGCACATAATTATCAATAAAAATTATAAAAAGGATAATTGTTTAAACGTAAATATTATTTATATATAATAAATTTAAAGTCCTCTCAGATGGTCTCAATCTTTTTTTTTATTTCACTCACTTGCAAAACAAGTATTTTAGCTTTCCTTCTGCTTTAGATTCGTCCTTGCTTTTATATTTGCATTTCCAAATTTACAATTTACTGAAACTTATTTACTCGGAATTGGCTACACTATTTTTAAAATGTAAATTGGTAATTCATGATGTTGTGACATTTGCTTTGTCAACAATATACGTCTACCTCCGCAATAAATAATTAAGCACTTGAAAAATGTTTATCTAGCAAAATTAGTTGCTTAGTGTAAAGATAACTTTAAAGTTACAAGTTTTCATTAAAAATGATTTCATCAACGCGGAAGCGTATATTCATTATTTTATGTATTATAGCAGTGATATGTGTGTTGATACGTTATATGCTTTTCCATGATGCACTACTTGCGGTATGTATTGAGCAATAAATTAAGATAACTAACATTGACACCAATTAATGACTTCCGTTCAACAATTTTTATATTATATTTTACCTATGAGTTCTTGTCATTTTTCAAAAAAAATATAGCCACAGCCAAATTATCAAAGAGAACTTGGAGCACCTGTACTAGTAATGGTATATTATGAAGCGCTCTGTCCGGATTCAAAACATTTCATAACAAAACAGTTGGTACCCACATATAAAGCCATTGCTCCACTTATGGAAATACTATTAGTGCCATATGGTAAAGCACAGACATTTACAAATGCAGATGGCACTTATCGTTTCGACTGCCAGCATGGACCCGTTGAGTGTCAAGCAAATACGTACCATTCCTGCGCTATCGAAGTAATTGAAGACGCGCAGGCGCGTCTTGATGTTGTTGCATGCATGATACGTGACAATCGTTTGCCAAAAGAAGCTTTGCACAGGGTAAGTATATAGATCATTCAATCAATATTTGACCAGATCATGTGTTTTGCTACACACAAAATGAATTCAATTTAATATTAATTTTAATATACAAAAAATTGAAAATTCTCTATATATTTACGATTAGTGTGCCAAGCAGCATAATATAGACAACATTGATCTCATTTTAAAATGCTACGACAGTACCAATGGCGGAGAACTGTTAAAATTGAATGGTGACGCTACACATGCGTTACGCCCACCTGTTACATTCATTCCTACCATAACGTTGGATGGCTCAATAGGTCGTCAAGCATCTATACTTAAGAATTTGCAAGGTGAGGTCTGTAAAATTGCTGCCGATACAGACCAAGGTAAAGAATTGTGTAACAATGTCTGAGCTTAGGTATTCATTTTTAAAGTCAAAAATAACACAAAAATGCAAAGAGCAAAAAAGATTGATTGCTATTTTTATTAAGTCAAATTATACAGCCAATATGCACCTTCTATATGAAAGGTGCTGTGGTAATTATAGTAACAAATCCAAGAATGATGAATGATGCAAACTGTTCCATTTTAAACTATAATTGTTTTATTTATCAGTTGCAGTATTTGTTAACATAAAATAATTAAAACTAATTGTGAACAGTGCAAGTTCTTAAAAGATAATTCCTCATATTTCATGAAAGTTTTCTTTTAAGGTGAAAGTAAATCAAATTTAATATTTAATATTTTTTCATACTGCAAACTATTTTTATTGTCTGTATATTAATATAATTGACACACATCTATCTGAACAGTTTATTAATAAATTTGATTTATTTGTCCTATTTATGAAAATTTTTTAAATCGTAAAGACATTAGCTATGTATTATCATCACGACACTTGATACAAACGCACTAATCATGTATTTATATAAATATTCTTTATGATATTGAAACTTTGTATAGTTTAGTCACTATTTGTACTATAATTTTTTGTTATAACGTTTTGTAAAATGTTTAAAGCATAAATTGTCTAAGCATTTATTTAAATATTTAAATTAAATTTTTTATATATATTATTAATGATGTAATTATAACTGTTAACTTCCTACGACTTGTGCGTACAAAGATGAAAACTAAATATATACAAAAGATAAATGTATTTTTCTTGTTTTAAATAAAATTTAAATTATTAAAAATTCAATCGGACTTTCCATAAGTTAAATACTTATTGACTGCGATGATAATGAAAACCTGATGCAAGTAAATAGAAAATATAAATCAATTTAATTACTAGTTTTATTTGAAAAAAAATTATAAATAGCTTGAACCAGACTACGAAAATAAAATAAGCAAAATGCAAACACAACGACAAAAACACAAAATATTTTCATTAACTACCCAGTAAGGACCGACATGCTGCTAGCCAGTAGCCACCGTCAAGCTGCTATCTTCCCTTGCATCATACGTATTTTTCAGGTGGTCATCATGACGAGTTCCTTTCAGAATTCCAATGGCTTTTCAGAATCATGCATGATTTGATAAAGTGCAAAAGGTATGTGGCATGCAATGCGGAATTGACATTCGTCAAACTTCGTTTACGAATCAAAATGCACTTTACGATGGAAGCATGTGGTAAGCATGACAATGTAAACTAATCTCTTCATGAGTGATGCTTGTGCACGCAAATTATGAGGGTGATCATTTTCTGCCTTACGACCTGCTTCTAAAGTCACCTTCTGTAGCTTACGATATCAGTAGGTTATAAGGTTGTTTCTGTTTTGAATGCATGCTTCTGCATTTTACATTTATTTATTGTAAAATAAATTTTTATAAAAAAAATTAAAAATCAATAAAATATATTGTTTTAATTTATTAGAAACATAAATAAAAATCACAAAAACAATATTTAATTATAGATTATAAATTTTTTTGTTTTAATTTTTTTTTTAATATAAATAAATGAAAAATACAAAAACAATATTTAATTATAAATTATAAATTTTTTTTGTTTTAGTTTTTTTTTTCAATATAAATAAATAAAATTACAAAAACAATATTTGATTACAGATTATAAATTTTTATTGTTTTAATTTTTTTTTTAATATAAATAAATGAAATTTACAAAAACAATATTTAAATTATTATAATTTTTTTTTTAATATAAATAAATAAAATTTCAAAAACAATATTTAAATATAGATTATAAATTTTTTGTGTTTTAATTTTTTTTTTTAATATAAATAAATGAAAATTACAAAAACAATATTTAATTATAGATTATAAATTCTTGTTGTTTTAATTTTTTTTTTAATATAAATAAATGAAAATTACAAAAGCAATATTTAATTATAGATTATAAACTTTTTTGTTTTAATTTTTTTTTTGAATATAAATAAATATTTTTTTTTTTTTGATTTTTTGTTTTTATATAAATAATTAAAATTACAAAAACAATATAGTGTTCAAAAATTATATGCTGCTTTCTTCCATTTTGTGCTTCTTCCGGTCGTTGCACTGCTGTTTATAATAAATTCCTTTGACATTTTTAATGGCTATTCGTATATCTCAAATATTCTCTTTTACGTTGTAACCATCTTTTTGCAAGGCTTCTGTAAAGAAAAATATGTTGTTAGTTTTATTTAAATATATATATATATATATATATATATATATATATATATATCAATTTTTTTATACCGAATATTGAAACATTTAAGAATTTAAAGTCCTTAAATGCTTTTTTGCTGTTTATTTCATCATAATTTAAGTCCAGAACTAACGTTCGATCGATAATTCGATGTAAGTTCTTCTTGATCCCTTCCGGTTGAATAATGGATTTTATTAAATTAGCCTAAATGGTTTCAGAAACATAAAAAGTTATAAATCGAACGAAGTAATTAAATTAAAATATAATGAAAAATTTTATATGTTCAGTTTTTGGTTGTATGCAATTGCACTTACATATTGAGCACTTTTAGTGGCACAAAATGCGTCCACATTCCCCAATTCATCAAACGTCTTGATTGGGAAACAGTTATCAGGAGCTGCTGTAGCATTTTTCTTTTCCATCATGTTTATAATTGTATGGAACTTTGCTACAACGTCAATGTTACTTTCTGTAAAAAGAAAGGGATTCTCATAAATAATTTTATTTTATTTAGTTTTATTTAAATGAAATGTTACCTTTATAACGACATAAATTTTTACAATAAATTTTTGTGCTACATATTAGCTAGAAGAAGAAAAAAATAAAGTCTGTTCGTAAACTAACTACCAGCGGAGTTATCTAAAAAAATATGAAATTGAATTAAAATGTTTATTTAAAATATCATAAACATTACCTGCGATCCCCGATTCCAACGTGCCGCGAGCATCGATACATGTGCAGAATCTAAAAATATACGAAAAAAATTTAATTTGTTTGTTACAAATTTTATGGATGAAAACAAAAAAACGTGTAAAGAAATTTTGAACACAACAACACTAAACAATTATTACCGAAAACACGTTTAATTATTTAACAAATATCTATTTAAAATATATATAAATAAAATAATACACAAAATAATTTAACACTCATGCTTGTACGATTTTATTTTTATACACGTAAACAAAACAAACTCCGGCAGCACCTAAGCACATCAACACTAGTTTTTTTGTATTATTTCTAATTTATTTCTTTTCTTTTCACATTTAGATTTGAATAATATTAAATTCACAAATTATATATGTATATTTCATACCTTGTTTTGAATTATTAATACACTTTATTTTTAATAATAAAATATAAATTAAAGAGGAAAAAAACACACGAAATAAAAAAAAAAACACTACGCCTAGTAAATACTCAAAGTCGCGGCGAAGTAAAGGAAGAGGAAAACAAGCAAACACGAAAAGACACAAGCAGTACACAGTAGAACATAAAAGTTCAACTTCACGGCGAAGTGAACTACAGCAAGTAATACCGGTGCGCTACACCAAAAAGCTCCGGTATGCTCGATATAAAAGGAGGAACATTTCATGTAATAGGGGACTTGGTTTTTGACAAGTAAAGGAACAAGTACTCTGGCTCATTGAGCCTTCTGGTAAATTTTACCAAAGACTTGAAATTTTACTTATCCAAGACAAGTACACTGGCCTATTGGTCACCTGGCACATTTTGCCAAAAACCTGGATCTTTCAGCCAAACGTAGTCTTATGTATATTACTTTTTAACATGGCTCATTCGTCCAAATGATTTCTTTTACAGTACAAGGTGTTATGAACTTAAACAACGTGTTGATATTTCGTTGGCTTGACTCGAACTGAACTAATAGAATCAAACAAAAGCTACCCAAACCAAATCAATTATGCTGAGATTTGCATTCTTAAGATAAGTGCGGTGGTGTTTGTCGTATGTAAGTTGATTCCTATAAGAGAAACCATAAGCGCAACATTGTTCATAAAGAAAACAAAGAATACTGTGTGCAGCTTGACTACAGTGATCATGGCTGAATCAGCATAAACAGTAAGTAAGCTTCAATGCCCTTGAAATAAAGTAAACAGGAAACGTTACTTTGTGTGTAGGATAAATTCCTAAACAAAACTGTGATATTGCGCTTTGTCTTTTATTTGTCTTGATACAAAATAAGACAAAACTTAATTTGACAAATATGTGGAATAAATCCACATAACAAAGGTATTCATTGTTTTTTTTATAACAACAGAGGAGAGGACCTAGAACGTCACACTGTCCTGCCAGAAATCTTTTAACGAGTAACACACTGGGGAATAATAATTTCTGTCGTCAACGGCGATCCATACATTTTTTTTTAATTTAGAAAAAAAAAAACAAAAGAATGCTTTAAGTGAATAATAACTTATTATATACTTTGTTAATAATAAGTCTTTTTTTTTATGAAATAAATAAAAATATATGATTTATATATATATAAATAACGTTCTTTCTTCTAAAACAGCGTCTCAGCGAAACTATAAATAAATTGTCTCGACTCTGGACGACGGCTGAGGATACCCCAGCAAAAACTAAAAATTTTTGAACGTCACCCAAAGTGTCATTACACCTTTTACTAATTTCAGTTCCTTGAGTATCCTTGAGTATGATTTTGAGAAATTTTTTTCACAGATTCTTCAATTCTGGTTAATGGTTCTTCTAATGCTAATTTGTTTAAATCTTGCGTTAATATATCACTATTACTGACACCGAGATCAATGTTTTCTGATACATTTTGTAATAAAGGGTCTACTGGGTGCTGAAAATAGTCACAGTAATTCAAATCCTGGCTTGGTCTTTATATATAAGTATAAGTAGCGAACGAAAATCTTTTGTTGTTGTTGTTGTAACCGCTGGGAACTGCTTGTGAAATCCTTTTTGGAGAAGTCGGACGCCACTTAGTCGGCGCTAGCAGTAAAATTTTCACCAATAATTAATAAAAACATTATTAAGTCCATTGTTAGATGAGATCTATTTTAGATTAATGCGATAAATTTTGGAGTATATAGCAGTCCATAGTAATAAAAGAAAAAAAAATTGATTTAAAGCGGAAACGTCATTAATAAGCATTTAAACTTGCTTGATATTTTTCTAGCACTTTGGTTTCGAAAAGAAATTAGCACGAAAATAATATTGAAAGCTTGCTTTAAATAATATTTAAATATTACTTTAATCGTGATACTTTCTTACGATTTCTAGTGTACGATTTATCATACAAAAAATTAAACCTTTTGCTCGAAATTTATTTGAAATATCGTTTAAAGTTATAAACGTTTTCGATTGGTAAATCTGGCGTAACATTTTTAATCGAAATTTAATTTTAGTACAATTTTCATTTTCCATTGATAAATCTGTATAGTACTCAAAATTAATTTATAATACTCCAGACATTTTGCCAAAGTAGCAAAATTATCCTAAAATTAACAGCTGTTTTGTATGATTTGACAGATAAAAAGGTGTGATGCAGATGCAGACGAAGATATATATTCCAACTTGACACCATTTGCAAATACGGAAAAAGTATTGTTTGAAGATTTTATGGTAAATGTTGTGTATTTTACACAGATGAAGACTTAAATGTGCACATTTTGATTCAATTGATTTATTTACAAAAATTTACAAAAACACATTTACAAAAATTTTAGATTACTCTAAAAATGTTCGATTGGACAACGAAGTTTCACAGATGTAGATTAAATCTAGATTGAATCCAGATTTACCAATCGAAAACACCATATACAACACTACAAATGTTCTAATATCGTAAATTTGTTTACAATATTAGAAGATGGAATGTCAAAAACACAGCGAGACATCAGGGTAAGTAAACAAATTTTAAATATGATATTGTCAGTATTGTAATAAGCTTGTATTTAATTTAAATTGATCGATTTTACTTTTTATTTGGCCATCTTTGAATTTACGTGATATGTAATTTTTATGTAAATTAGTTTTTCGAGTTTCAATTTAAAAGTTTGATTCCTTTTTAATTTTTTTTTTTTAATCCATAGTGGGGAGAAGATAACGATAATCTGCTCATTTCGTACCTTCTAGAGTATAAATACTTTAGCTAACTTATTTGTCACGCCAGTTAATGATTGAAAGCATATAATTAAACTTGCGGACGCAGTATCAAAGACCGTCTCAAAGCCAATGTCTTCGAAGACCACTTTTCCTACTAGGAATTTATATTTAATGAAGCTAAAAAACTGATGTCATCGTAGTGTCTACAATTGAAATTACTGCTTAAAACACATTGATGAAAAGTCGATTGAATAAAACACATAACCAATTAGTAATAAATTTTTGCTGTACCCCATATACAATGTATGAATAACAATTAAAATAACGAAATGTAATGTTTCTTTTTATACTGAAAGATCATAGTTTACACAGAAACTATGTATGATCATATTGCCCATAAAATAATCCATAACTGCAAATATTTAAACTTGAAAATTAAATATAATCAATCACTGATAGGGAATACATAAATTAGTCAATGAGATGGGTGAGACCCTGTAGTACCTCCAGCTATCAAAGAGTAAAAGTGCCCAGTTGCGCTGACTCGAAAAAAGGATCAACATATACATATATACAAATTTTTACAGTTTCTATAAATTTTTAAATTTTTACATAAAAGTAATCATCTTCTCATTAGAAATTTTTATATTTGAAGCATTAAAATAATATCTTCATCAGACATATTTTTGGCGCTTTATTGTTACTAATATTTTGTACATAAATATTTCGGAATAAATTTAAACTTTAAAATATCTCTAATACGTAGTGTAAATAGTGTTGATTATAAATACAGACAAACTTGTCTTGAACTGGATTCACACAAGAGTTTTGTTTGTAAGTTTAGCAACAAAAATTGTCAGCTAAAATTACAAATATGACAACTAAAATTACAAACATGACAGCTGAAATTATGAACAAAAATCTCGTGTAAATCCAATATTAATAATGCAATGTAAATTTGAATAATTCGCAAATATGCGGTTATTGCAAAATCAACACAAAAATTTATGGATTTTGTTTGATTATTGTGAGTATGAACATAATAAAATACAACGTTAATACACTTCACCACTGTACACAACTATAATTGCACAATAGTTCACACTACGACAACTTATCAATCAATTAAAAAATAGAAAATAGAAAAATATCAAAAAAAAACTTAACATTAAATAATAAACTTAATAATATTAAATAATTAAAAATCAAATAATTTGAAATATAATTTAATGTGAAATGAACTGATACTGTCTTTTACATGTATTCTTTGCTTATGTGAAGTTATTAGTCGTGCCGTAACACAAAATTTTCGCACTAACGACAGAAATTTTATATCAGCTGTTATAAAGTTATCGTTTTATCGTTAAAGACTTAAATATTTGCGCCTGCAAATTTATTTGTGAATTTTTACATTAATATACATTGCATATTATATATAAAATAAAGTTAGTATAAATTTAAAAATATTTCATAATAGATTTTTCAAATATGTTTATATATTCATTAACAGAAAAATGAATGATAAAGCCCTTGCTGACATGGTGCGTATGCATCGTATGTTGTATGATAAAAGTCATCCGTCATATAAAAATAATGATCAAAAACGCTTGGTTTGGAAACGCATTGCGGAGGAATTGGAAATGGAAGGTAATTACCAGATTATTCTAAGTTCAGGTAAAAAAGTATATAACACTAAGGTTATCTATTTATCTAATTGCAGAAAAGGCTGTAGCAAAAAGGTGGGTGGTTTTGAGAGAACGTTTTAGCCGAGAAAATCGCTATAAACAAAAACAAATTAATCGAAAGCGCAGAGAATGGCCCACGTATGACAGTCTTCTGTTTTTAAAAGACCACATTCTGCAGCGACGGTAAACAAAGATTGGCTTTTTTAATCAAAATTGATTTAATAAATTAAGTTTTTTTCCAGAGTACGGCCACGTAAAACTTGTGCGTCACGCAATGATTCAGATAAAGATTCTGATTCTGATGCTGATTCTGATACATCTTCATCATTACCGCAAAAAAGATCAAATACTAACAAAGCTTCAGAAGCTAAAAAAGATGAAGTGGACGTTTTATTAGTCGATGCACTCAAGAAATATCATAAAATATGTGAAATTAGGATGAAAAACAAACGAAAGAGTGATGAAGTGATCCATTTTGGAGAACTTATCACTACAGCGATAGACACATTAAGTAAATCAGCACAAATCGATGTAATGCAAAAATGCATTGACGTTGCCATGAAAGCCAAGCAAGAAGAAGTAAATAAGTAGAGTATTTACGAAATTATAAATTTTTTTTTATATTATTTTTCTATAAGTTTAAAATTTTGTTCCTTTATTTATAGCATTATTATTTATTCTTTAAACTTTAATAAATGATAGAGGATGGTAAATAATTGCAAAGAAGCAACAAATATTGCTTAACTCTTAATCAGTAATCTTTGCAAATATTTGTAAGTTATCTTATATATAATTTTATAGACTAGACTAAGAATTTCTTGCCTGTCACAATGACTTCACGTATTTTTAAACAAAATTAAATTTTAATTTCATTGAAATGCTTTAATATTAATAAATAAAGTAATTAATATGTATATATACATTAACTCATAACGTTTGTTTGATTTATTTAAATATGTAGTCTTTATTAAAAATTAAAGGAATTTGCATGATAAAATATAGGTTTGGAATAGACAGTATATTCATTCACAAAGTAATTTCGTAGATATCCTCTGTTTTGTAGACGCTACCTACATCACTGACTTATAGCAGATTTTGTTAATGGCCATTCTCCACTTATCAAAAAATTACTAATGTAAAGGTAACATTTACAAAATTTTCTATGCACTATCATCGATTTTTATTAGTCCACATTAGTTCAATTTATCTAGTACCAAGATCACGTCTTCAAATCTCAAACAAAGGCCACCAGAATACATCAACTTGATGTACTATTTTACAGCGCAAGAACCACTTTTGGCACGAATATCATTTAATAAATATAATTACTGACCAAAATAAGGACAATCAATGGAAGGATTGAAGGAGATAACCTGGTATTATTGATTGTAAGAAGAGCCGGGTCTACGCTCCGGAACCACTTGTCGCCAGCGAGAACCAAGTGCCGTTCGACACTTAGTCCCATCGGGCAACAACAACAACCTAGTATTATTCACTTTTTTTATATATCGTTTGGTATAAAATGTATTAATATATAAAGATTTTATATCGATCACCAGGCCTTTATAAAAAAGTTTCAAGTATGTGGTGAACAATCTGGTCCGTGTGATCACACATTTTCGATCACCTTTTAAGTCTCATATTGTCATTTCTGCGTTGGTTCCCTTCCTCGATGTGGTAAACTCAGATTGGTCTAATGGACATCTAATGAGAAAAGTTAGGTACATTTTCCAGAGTTGGACTAGCTTCAAAATTAAGAGCAGAACTTTTAAAATTGTGAATTTTTTATGTATCAGATTTTGTTTATATGTGATTATTTGTTGGCTGAAAATAAACAATATTTATTGGAATTAATTTTGAGTGCTCAGCTTGCTCTACAAATATTGAAAAGATTCAAAAAGTGCAAAAATTCATCGCACGAAAAATATAGGAGGCCCGTGGTATGAAAAAAACTCTAATATCCATGAGGATCTAAACATTCCACTAGTGAAGGATGTTGCCCGAGCACATATTATATAGGCAAATATCTTACGAATCTTAAAGTACATCCCAACCCACATGTCAGAGAGTTGCTTCCAACACTTAGAACTTCGCGTCTGCAAAAGAAACCACTATTGACCTGCTCAGTTCAATTTGAATTCATTATTATTAATATTTAAAATATATTTGGAGATAATTTTACTACCTCTCTATCTTCAAAAAGATTACAAGTAACCCACAAGCTAAGGCTTTAACTTTTTATATTTAGTTTAAGATTTGAATGTTTATTGTAAATTTCTTATGTTAAAAGTGGTTTAATAAAACATGAAATGAAAAAAAAAATATTCTTAAATTAAATGATCACATTAGATTATATTTTAATAAATTTATAATCTAATGCAATTTTTAAGTAACAAACAATAATTAAAATCAATTTTATATGGTTTATTGTATGTTAGTTTATTTTCTTTTTTTTTTTGTTTACAAATTATTTTAACAACATTTCAAAACTGATAGATTAGTTATTTACGTATAATAAAAGCTTTTAAATGTTAACAACGACACAACAACAATTTTTTAGAAATAAATAAACACAAAAACTTCTAAAATACTTTTAAAACCAAACTAAATTACACCCCGTTTACACTATTGCAATTACTTCGACAAATAAACACCAATAAGTGTCATTTTTCTTACAAAATCCATACAAAAAAGTGCTAATGACATTCTATAATTGTAGTGTAAACATAGTAATAGTAAAATTTACATTCACCACAAATATTTTGAAATTCGTTACACATTTTCTCAAATATTTTCTTTTTAAAACAAATTTCTAACACAATTTTGATATTATTATACAGTATGTCTTAACATATCATATATATACTTTTCTGAATATTTGTGGTGTTTCTATTGTTATTAATTTTAATTTTTTTTTATTACTATTTATTCATTTTATTTAATTGTATAATTTTTTATAAAATAATTAAAATTCTTAATTTCGATCAAATCAATTTAATTAGTCCGATTCGCCCAATCCGATTACAAATTATAACACCCTTCATCAGTTAAAAGTCCATAATCTATTAGTGTAGATAATAACAGGCAATAATCTACTACTCCTTCCGGAACATCTAAAAAAAAAAAATAATTAAAATATTTCATTATTTAACACAAAAAAAATTCTAATAGATTTCCTCTAAATTCCTCAAATTCCTCTAAATTAGTGGTAATATTTTTTGAATTAAAGAAATTTCGGCACAAGTCTATAAATCGTTGTCACAAAATCGTTGTCACAAAAATAAATCGTTGTCACAAAAATACATGCTAATGATTTTTTTTATAGAAAAAATAAAAACTATTAACACTTTATTGGATTCTAAAGTAGCTTTAGTGCAACAAAAAGGAACAGAAAGAATCTCTTGGTCAAATTTTTAACTAGAATTTCTATTATCTATGATAAGAACTTTACATATCATATAGAAGAGATGGCAATAGTGAGAATAGTCTAAATTCAAAAATTTAATTTTTAATCAAGTAATCGTAAATCTCCAAGTATCCATCATCAATGGACTTTGAAAATATCTATTAATTTATTTGTCCGCATATAATTTTTCGAGAACAAGTATCAGGAACTGAATCGTGCCAAATTCAAATCGTGGACTCTAGTATTAACACACACAGCGTTATTCAAATTGAACTTGCACTGTTATTAATTACAACTAACGCATAAACCACAGTATAATAAATTAACTTTATCATTGCATATTGTTGTTGTTTAAACATTAACACTATTGTTTGTAGAAAAAATTAAAAATTTGCAATCCTTTACTATTACCCAATTTCATTAAAATGTTATTCTAAAACTAATATTAAATAAGCGAGCTTATCATTATATGGTAAGTATTTTGCCTTATTTTCTACTGCATGACTCCAGTATGAATTATCTATCTACGTTATCGATGGATAAGCCTTAAAAATGGGCATAAGGAAGGTATGGTCATATAAAATACATTAACAACGAAATCTCATTTACAACAAAATCTCATTAACAACGAAATCTCATTTACAACAAAATCTCATTTGCAACAAAATCTCATTTACAACAAAATCTCATTAACAACGAAATCTCATTTACAACAAAATCTCATTTACAATAAAATCTCATTTACAACAAAATCTCATTTACAACAAAATCTCATTTACAATAAAATTCCATTCACAATAAAATCTCATTTACAACAAAATACTTATCAAATGTATACTCTCCAATTAATCCATAATTAAGACGATTTAAAATTATAACGTTAAGTATATAATAAGAATTGATTTTGAAAAATCAAGAAAAAAAAAGTGTCAACAAAATAAAATAAAATGTTCCAAACAAATAAATAAAAATTAATAATACAATTAACTTCTGTTAAAAATGCACACATAAATTGGATTATCCGACAGGATTACAATTTTAGGGCTCCAAAATTTAGCAACTGATTTTGTTAAAATCGGTTACTCTAAACAACTTTTTTCACTACACAATATGTCGATGTCTCGATATATTCAGTATCAAGCAACCAGTTATGGAACAACTGAATTAGTGTGGATATCAATCAGTTTTATTTTATTGTATCAGTACTTTGAGTTCTCAGTGGCTTACAATAAGATCATTTAATCATTTAACAAATGACTCAATATATAAAAATAAATAAAATAAATTGAAGTCACTCACAAAAAATTACAAACGAACTATCCATGAAGGAATTTTTTTTTAGAGTTTTGCTTAACCACTAAACGGTAACAACTATTTAATATCTTAAGTTTGAATTGCCAGTTTTAAATAATTAATAAACAAAATTGAAACTTACTATCAGTCACATATTACGACGTTTTTACTGCTTAATTTTATAGTTATAGTTTCACCAACAGCAGACATAGACGGCAAATAGGCTGAATTTATGTCATCATTGATGAGTATAGCAAATCTTTTCATAAGGCAGCTATTGTCATTACATAGGGCCAAGCAGAACTCCAATGTAAGTGATTCTCTCAAAAATGTTTGCGTTGTAGGCAACCGTTTAAATTCTATGACCAGTTTTCCATCTACGTTCAATGTTCCAGTTGTATAAGGAGCAACTAGAGCTGTTTCTGTTGTTGTAAGTGTCCATTTTTGTGGCGCTTCAGCATTAAATTTCATGCCAGCATCAAACACAAAAAGTACATGTAGTAGTAATTCTTTGTAGCTCCGTAGAGGGAGACTATGCCATAAATATTTACAGCTTGGTATTATATCTAACTCACTGGGCATAGGAGCATAATTAAAGTTCAAATGAAAAGTTTTTGTGACCATTGTTTGCAAATTTACATATTGTATGTTGTGATTGTTTGTATCACTCACAAATAAAAATTCGCCGCTGGTATCAACACACACACTGGCTGGTTCGCTAAAACGATGCAGTGCCCCTTGTTCATTATAAACAACCAATGATTCTATTGTACTTGCAATTGGATCAACCATTTTGATTTTGTGATTATATGTATCAGCTATATAAACTTTTTCGCTTATATGATTATATGCCACACCCAATGGATGCTGAAGTTTCGCACTGAACAACTTTCCATCAACGTCGCCATAAGCAAATAAGTTCTAAAATATAATATTACAATATTATTATTGTCATATTTAAGAAATTAGATTATATATTCCTTACCAAGGGATCGCGATCGCCGCCTACTACCGGCATTACTTTCCCATCAATCAAAGACACTTTTCGTATACTGGAACTTTCGCTGTCGGCTACAAAAAGAAAATTGTCACCAACTGCAAGCCCAGAAGGTTGCGCAAAGGCTGCATTTTGTGGATATGAATTATTTCTATTCTCTTCAGCGCCATTGCCAACAAGAGCATTGCATGTACAAGGTTCGAACTTTCGATATTTCCACCAAATCATGCCTTCTGGGAAATAGGCCCATATTTGGTGTAAACCTGCCATAGCTACTAAAACGATTGGTTTCTCTTCTACGCTTTGGTCATCTATATGAAATGACATATCCATATCCCGAGTTCTATAAACTGCAACATCCCATGGAGACGATATTGGTTGCACGTTGCCTAAATTGCCACCTTCACGATCTGTACCTTGCCATCTGGTACCAGCTAAGGTAATAACCCTGTCGTTGCTTATAGAAATTTCTCGCAAGAGATGATTTTTTGTATCAGCCACCACTATCGTATCGTTATTAAAGAAGACAACGCCATGTGGTGCATTAAAACGTGCAGTTGCAAAATCACCATCAGCATAACCAGATTCAGTGCCTCCAACTTTATGCAAGACATTTCCCATGCTATCAATGACCAACACTCTATTATTACCAGCATCTGCTAAAGCATATAACCCTCGATCACTCCTCGCCATCTTTGCTGGAAAACGCAAATTAGATGCGGGCAATGGTTCTGTTGAGTGCACAATTGGCAAAGAGGAGTCTGATATATCATCAGCGTCTTCATAAAATCGCAACGCTTCCCCTATAAAGCGTTTTAGGAAGAAACCATGTCCTTCCCCCATAAGTAGTAGAATAGGTAAACCATTTGGACTGCATACTATCAACGTTGGCCAACATTGTATACCTAGTTGACGCCATAAAGTCGACTGCGCGTCATTTACAATTGGGTGCGTAATGTTGTATCGTTTCGTTGCCGCTACAATATTTGAATCACTTTTCTCATTATCGAATTTCGGAGTATGTACTCCAATTATAACTAAACCCCGATCTGGCGGATACATTTCTTCTAAATCATGCAAATCTGGCAATATATGCATACAATTAATGCAACAGTATGTAAAAAAATCAAGTATAACCACTTTGCCATTTAAATCTTCCATTGTTAACGGTTGCGTTACATTAAACCATTCCAAATCTAAAACGATACGAACTTCAGCACACATAAAATGCGTATTAAAATTTTTAATAAAAACCTGGTTCGAACTCAATTTTCATTTCATCCAAAACACTTAAACCTTGTTCAGCTGGCCAGTCATCTAAATAATTACATATTAATTCATCTTGAGCTTCTTGATTGTCTTCAAACTCCATAAACCTCTTCTCCAAACGATCAGAGTTCTCAGACAAAAAGTCAATTGGTCTCAACCCGTCAGAGTCCTCCATCTTGGTCACTATTAATTCAAATGTATTTAATTGTATTGAATTAATGAACAAATATGCATTTAATATATATATATTTTTAATAAACCTTCTTTATCTGTCGGCAAACGATGACAAATAGCGGGGTACGTTCAGTTGCCAAAACATTTCGCGATGTGTTCGAATATTTGTAAATGCACTGTTCAAATCAAAGAAGATAAAGAAAAGAAACTAAAAGTTACTCGAAAAAATATATATAAAATTTTCTAAAATATTTAAAATTTTGTGTAATACGATGAAAGTATCACGCAGTACAAAAACACAAAGCCTAATATCACACAATGGCGCTTAATAATTTTTCTCACACGATTTTACTATTTTGCCCACCCGGTCCTTAACCACTACGGTGTTTGCTAAAATAGGAGTATTTTCTGAGTAATTTCATTTGGTTTTTTGACATTAAAAATTCGTAACTAGAATCATGTGGTAATAAACATTCAGCCACACCGATTTTAATATTTGATTATTCTGATATGGTATATAGATAACAGGGATTCTTTTGCGATATCACACAAACCGGTACAATTATTTCGCACATAACTTTGATATAACACTGCGTATACAATACATTTTAATACTAAGGGCATAATTTTATTTTAAACCATTTTCTCAAAAATAATATACAAAAAATATATATATAACATAAAGAGTGCCATATTAACACAAACCAGCGTATTACATAAAATATATATACCGTTGTAAATATATGCATCTGTTTCTGCTGTAATGTAAATTCAGTTCACTTTAATTAATTATATTAGTTTAATTATTACTTTAAATTACATTAATCTTAATTATTTTTTGATTTTCTAGAACTTTCTGAAACTTACACAAAACAATTAATTATTCACAAATCACAACCACTTTAATAGTATATTCCTATTGCCTACATTAAAGCAGTTTATTTAATTTAGATTGCTAATGTAGTTAATTAACCTTACAAAGAGCTTTCCAACTTAGATAAGAATAAATTAAGTGAAATAACACCAAAAGTGTTGAATGCAAGATTGCAAAATATATTTTCCAAAAGACAAATGATAAATAAACAAAAAGCAAACAAATCAAAGGAACAAAAGGTACGTTTTTTAAAATGTTTGTTTTTTATAAATAAACATTATACACAAAATTTTTGCATTTTCTGAATTTTCCATTTTCAATTAATAAATTTCTGCTAACAATACAAATTTACTATTATCTACTAACAATTTAATGAAAACAAACAAAAGCTATCCTAGAACTTTCACTGAACTGTCTTACACTTAAAAGCTCTTTCTTAAATCAGCTTATATTAATGGAAACAACCAAATCTAAATTTAATTATTATAAATTGATAAATTGATACATTGGGAACATGGTAATTGCAGCTACAAGGAATTGAACCCAAAAATGTCAAGATTTTTAAGATGCTAAATATGAAGAGATATTAATTGCTCGTATTATTGCTCGCGCAACACATCCCTAAAAAATATAAGCGAAAGAATTTCCTTTTCCATAGCACTTGACAACAATAATAACAGCTGATTTATAATGATAGCGATAAACTTAAATCGCGATGTTTGTGATAACAAAGCCATCTGCATATAAAATTCTGACATTTATTAAAGTCGGGAAGCAACTAGTGTCATTGCTCAAACATACTTGATATATTCTGAAAAGAAGTTTCGCGTTATTGTTCTAAAATTCCTTTTTTGTATCATGTACACAAACCAATATTATTCACTTAAGACTGCGGTTACATTGTAAGCGAATTCATTCATAAGAATGATCATAAGAAAAAATCAAATGCACATAATAATATTGATTATGTTTGAAATTCATTTGTTCCCACAAAATTGAAGGTAGCAGTTAATTTAAAACGTGTTTATTGTTTTGATATAATTTTAGTTTTATTAATGGAAATGTATTTAAAAACATATGTTACTTTTAGAATTAATTTCATTAATTTTTAATAATAAGTTATGTTACATTAAATTTTTATTAACTTCATACTTTAATTTTGATATTATTACTTAAAATCTTTTATCTTTATAAAAACTATATCTGAAACTATAAATAAATTATTGTACGACAGATCTAAGAAAAACTTTTACATCCTGTTGTATTCAAAAAATTGTACTCATCTTATTCTACTTCGCCAAAAGATAATTTAATATTAGATTTTCTGCTAAATATATTTCGTTATCATTGTTCATGCTACTTTCAAAACAAGCAAAGCAAAACTATCTACTTGCAAGGAATGTAACCGACGCGAGCGACACGTTCGAACGAAAAAATAAATATTTGTGAACGCAAGAAAAAAATTTGCATCCACTGTAACTGCAGTTTATACACACAATAAATGAGAAATGCATTAAATGCGATAGTATAAACTTAATAAAACATTTAGTATAATATCAAATACAATATTAAAGTGTAATGATATAAGCAATAGTTTGCAATACCATATATTAATGATATAAGTAAAGCATGCGTCCGTCTGTCCATCCGATATAGAACGTGTGCGAGCTCGAGAAAATTGAGGTAAAGTAAATTAAAATTTTCTAGGGTTTTTTTGCACTGCACTTATGTAAATATTTATTTATTTGTTTATTGTGCTTATTTATTATATTTAGTTAAAAGTTTTCAAATTTATTTTTTTATTTATTAAACATCTAATAAAATTTGCACAATATTAACACCTAATTTACCTAATTTTTATCTAATTTACCCCACTCGAAATTCTGGTAAATACCAACATTCTCTTCCGTACCGAAATAATTAACTATTTCCATCAATTTACCATCATTTTACTCGAACTCGCACACTGTCATAATATAATCTAACCATTTGTTGCATTAATATCCTAATTACGTTAATATAACAAACAGCAACGATATGCTTAATTATAACAGTGTTTTTAAATACTACTATACAATTTGATATAACGGAATGAATATATATCAAAATAAAAATATTGCTTATATTTAATTAAATAATCGTAATATAAATTTTATTTTTCAAAGGATTATTTTATATATTATATATATTATATACATTATATATATTATATATAATATATAATAATTATATTTTAATTACCTTGTTAATATTATATACCTGTAATATTAATATTAGTTTTATTTAACATATTATTTTTGTATATTTTATTAATTTTAATTTTATATAATATAAAATAATAGTATATATAATTTACATAAATTTAAATAATAAATACAATATTTATATATTTACATAATAGCCTCATTTTTGAAAATATCAGTTCCATAAATAATAATAGGACTTTTCAAGAATTTTATTTAGCATGCTATACTTGTGCTAAATGTTGATGTGCATAATTTTTAGTTATTTTTTATGTCAAAACTTGACGCGCCAAACTTTGACTCATTTCGGATGAGCCTTTTAAAAGTGTTTACATTCGTTGTAATTCATTTGTTCTCATTTCAAGCAGCTGATTTTTCAACTTGCCTGTTGATTTGATTTTTGGCCTCAGCCAAAAAAATGTTGCATAAAGTTTAAATATACCTTTAAACCTTACAATATAAGCTGGAAACATAATTTTAACTTCGATTAAATACTTTTTGGGAAGTAGAAGTTCTAAAAAGAAGTGCATCGTTTTCAAGGAAATGCAACCACCAAACATTTGTTTCCCTTTCTTTGTAAATATGTCACAATTACAAACATCAAACATTTTAAATAATAGTTGTTTGAATATTGGTATATATTTGTTAAAAAAAGTGCGATAGAGAACTTTTCATGATTTGGCAAATTCATTGAATATGTGAGAAAATGTCAAACTTTAACGTGTCATGTTACTTTAACGTCGAAATAGTTTGACATGTAATCAAATTCTGCAAAACTTGTCAAAAAATGTGTGTTTTGCAATACTTACCAATGAATTTACATTTTTTTTTACGTTCTCTTAAATTTTATCAATTGTGGTGGTGATGAATTTCAGTGTTTCGTACATATATTTAAATAAACTGCATCATATAGTAAAATATATGTAAAATTGTAGGTGTCTAAAAAAAGCAAAAACTAGTTATTGTATTTCTTGTGAATAAATACATTTTAAAAAAATGTTAATTGTATAAATCTGCATATATTCAAGCAAAATTTCAAGCAAATAAAATCACAATAAATAATTTGTAATAGTGTGCATATTAATATATGTATCATATTTTCTCAAAAATAGTGTTAAAAAATACGCAATAAAAAAGTTATCTAGTAGTATTAGCTTTGTTTATTACTTCAATTTTAAATTGGTTGTATTACAAAAAAATTGATAAATTAGTTTAAATTAGATAAATTCGAATAAAATTCTTAGAACTTTGGAACCAAACTAATACTATATATTAAAATTTTGTTAATATTTTATTTTAAAACTTTAGCGCTAAAAAGAATTTTAGCACTAAACTAAAAGCATATATTGAAATTTTGTTAATATTTTATTTTAAAACCATTACTAACAAAGACTGAACATACCATTTTGAAGAGATACCTACTTTAAGTACTTTCTAGTGTCAACATTGAAAACGTATTGAAAGGCAGGCTACACTTGTGCTCAAAAAACCTGTAAGAACCCTGTCATATATGTTAACTCAAAATACAATAGACAAGTCAAACGAAAAGAAACAGCCAATCGGTGCACAAGTGCGGCAAGAGCAATAATAGTTGAACGAAAATAATAACCCAACGGAGGGAAAGGCGAATATTAATAAGTGTGTTAAGGAAAAAAACAAGTGATTTTTTTTATTGGTTCATAGGAAAGTGATAAGAAACATTTATTATGGAAGAAAACTTGTCGCAATCAGTGAAATGCCAAAAACGGACTAGTGTTTTAATAAACTTAATTCCAAATGCACCTAAAGACCAAATATTGAATGTAGGAGCTTACGTGAAAAACGGAAAATCAATTTCCCGTTACCCAATGTGTTCAAGAGCAGCACAACGCAGTTCCTACACCCCTTCAGTGGCATTAATTCCAATGATTTTACTTATATTTTTTAATTGCGTTAATTTCGGAAATTCTACGGTACAGAAAACGAGTGATTCATTTAAAAGCTTAGATAAAACTTTACCACAAAATCGCAACGAAGGAAATGTGGCCAACGTCGAAGAGCATAATCCTGCATCGGAATCCGTGCAAGCAAGGTAAAAATATAAATATAATAAAAATATACCCAATATTGTAAGCGAAAGTTAATTCAAAAAATTGTTATTAATGCATACGCCTCGCTTGTATAGACACAAAATTGTGTTCTGTTTATATCGAAATCAAAAGTGAAATATTTGGCCAAATGTTTTCATGTGCGCGAACATTACCTCCTCTTCTGCCGCCTTTTATTATTGAACCGTTATATGTTTATTTGTGAAAAATGTAGTGACAGACAGACTAATATATTATCTGGTTCAGCTTGTGGTGTACATCTCATTGTCAATGACGTGATCTTTGTCACTTAGTCATTTTAGCAAGGAAATTAAGTACTATGGGAATAAGTGCAAAAAGGCTATCAGAAATTAAGTCATCTTACTTGAATGTTTATTATCACATATTGTCACATTTTCCATTTCACTATTTCTCCCGCCTCGTTCTCTCAAAGCAGAAATCCTTTGTTTACATTGGTGTATAGTATTAAATAGTGTATAGTAAATTTTTACCGGTATTTGATGATATGGCGATATATAGCTAAGGACATATAGTATCTGTTAACAAAGGCCACAGATAATCTTAACAAAATTATATTTTTTAAAATTTTTGTTAACCAAATTTTTATTTACTAAAAAAATAATAGACTTATCTATTGGTCTCATGATACATTATCCTCAATATAATTTTATGATTTCTAAGTAAAATTTATTGAAAATCGAATTTGAAACATAAACGATGTAATATTTTTCATTTATTTGTTTTGCATATCTTACGAAATACGACGTACGGTTCGTAGGATGACCGCATTGATATTACCAATTTATTTATAATTTTAGTCACTATCAGTTATTTCCAGTTATATTTAGTTTAAAAAAGCATATTTGATTATATATTACGAAAATTATATATAACTTCAAGTACCATTCAGTTTTGGTATTGACGGAATTATGCTTTCCAAAAATAATTAGCGATAATGTGTTTAGTTTTAATTTAAATTATATTCAAATGATAATTTCAGTATACAATTAATTCAATTCAATAATATTTTGATATCTGTCAGATATTTTATCACTTGAAAGCACTAATAACGATGGTTTATTTTGTCCAATTAGAATGTCACTAATTGGACTTAATCACACACCTTTTCTCTTTTTCCATTCTACATCTGAATTTCTAATTACATCCTAATTGGATAAATAACGAAGTAGATACAATATTTTGGAAACCTCTTAAGTCAGAGGTCTTATATGTATATGGCTTAATAAAGTCTTCTTTTAATTATTATAATTGATTATTAATTAACCTTTTCAACCTACATTTCAATAAAATTTAATTCAACTGAGATTAATTTAACAGCTTAAATTATTAATAAGTAACACTTACTAAGATATTGTTAAAATTTCTGTTAGTATTTAAAAAAAAGATACTTCGGACTACTTCTAGGCCATCTTCAGTGTACATATAAATAAAAATTTTAACAACTTAATAAGTGTTACTTATTAATAATTTGAGTTGTTAAATAACCGACCTTAAGCCCGGTTAAATTAAATTTTAAATATTATTTAAACATGTGTACAGGTCTATAACATTATTCTACATGGTTTATAATCATATTAATTTACCTCTGTATAGAACTAAAACCATTAAATTATGTCTTTATAAACTATAATTAATTTAACTCAACACCCTTCTTTTTTTTTGTTGCAACTAACATTCTTTTACGGATCCAAAAATATTTTGCCTAAATTCCCATTAAGTATAATGTAGTCTTATCTCTTTCCAATAGAAATACATTCTAAAAAAATGTCAATTTCTTCCAAAACTCATTTCTACTGAACTATTAAGTGGGCAAAATGATTTATCATATTGCTATATATTATAATAACTATTATATATATATCTTATATATATGTATATATATATTGTAATAATTATTATGTGTATATATTATACACTATCATATATTATTCTAATCGGGACTAAATTCCTTATTCTAAGTTAACTTTCAAATTAATTTTAGTGTTAACTCACAAATAAATAATATATTATACTATATACTATTATAATATATATTATACTATATATTATTATACTTAATATCATTATACTATATATTATACTATATATTATTATGCTATATATTATACTATAATTTATTATACTTAATATCATTATACTATATATTATACTATATATTATTGTGCTATATATTATACTATAAATTATTATACTTAATATTATTATACTTAATATCATTATACTATATATTATACTATATAATATTATAATATGTATTGTATAATATTAAAATATATAAAATATACTCGCTTTGGAAACCATTTTTTGAGTGACACTCGGAACATGATAGACTCCTCGAGTTTTATCACTTGTGAATTCGATATGTTATATCAATATCTTAAGAGTTCAATTTTTGTGTTTCAGTAAAATAATTTTTCATTGATCTCCAATTGTATAATTATCGATATCATCTATTTTAAAAAAAATTATTATACAAATAATGCCAATATATGAGCAAATTAAGTTAATTGAACTTAAAACTTGAAAAAAAACTCATTCTAAATTTCTTGCTTTAATTCTTGACTTCTTTAATCTGTAATCTGTACTTTGTTTTTTTTTTTTTTTTTCATCCATACCATAGACTGCGTACTCTTGCTTTTCAATAATAGTTATAAATACCTAATATAAGTTTTTATAAATATTTTTAAACATTGTTTATAGTTTCATTTTACGTCTATAATTCACATTCTGAGAGTTTCATGTGTCTGCTGGATTGGGAACTCTTCGATTATCCCATAAATTCCTCCGATTTTGTGTTTTTGCTCTTCGATAATAGTTATATTTTTAAGAAGTTTTTAATTATAAACACATTCTTAATATTGGGTCTTTTAAACATTTTTATACATTGTTTATAGTTTCATGTTACGTCTATAACTCATGTTCTGAGAATTTAACGTGTCTGCTGGATTCAGAATTCTTCGATTTTCTCATCACTTCCATTGAGTGTAAGTGCTCTTACTTTCCGATAATAGTTATATTTTTAAGATATTTTTATTGTAAACACATACTTAATATAAATTATTAACATATAAACATTTTTATATATTGTTTATAGTTTCATTTTACGTCTATAACTCATATTCTGAGAATTTAATGTGTCTGCCAGAACAAAAATTTGAAATTTCAATATACTTTGCATATCATTTTTATTTTGCATATATTATTTATATTTATGTAGATGTTTATGCTTACGCAAATATATGTATGCATACATATATCGTGTGTATATAGATACACTCTTATGTATTTGCTATAATCATGTAAATAAACCTCAATTATGTAGACTCTGTGCAGTGCAAGAAAAGATATTCTGCACCTCAGTGATAAGAGTTTATATTGTTATCATTATCAATTTCGTTTTACGATTATATTGTTTAAATATGATTTGGCGCCAAAAATGATGGTAATGATGATGTTGATAGTAAACGTTTGTATCATTAAATAATTTTCTCTCTCATACTCGCGCATTACTGGAACGTGGACTGTATAAATTGATATATTTTTGCAATGAAATTCTTGATAAATTTGTTATACCTATTAAATTTTTTTAGTTTTTTAAATATTTATTATATTTCCTTTTATATTTAGAAATTCTTAGATAAAGAGTACTTAACCCCAATTTTGAATTTTTTGTTCACTGCACTCTACAAAACTTCTTCATCTATCATGATCTCGTAACAGTTCTCTTCATTTATTCCAACTTGTTTTGGGTATCGCATTCTATGGTTTTTTCCATATTGTTCTCGGATAACTTCATTTTCTGTTATCCTGGGAATTGTACAATAGTTTATCTAATAGTTTTTACAATGTGTAATATTTCAAAAGACAACGTCAATGTCTTTTGCTAGAAGGTATCATTTTTTTGGTATCGAACCTGGGCGAAAAATCTTCTAAAGATACAAATGGCCCGTACCATTTGCATGCCCGATTCATGCACGACCCAATTGAGTCAATCATGCCTACGGACTAAAAAGTCCCCTACATTCTCAGCTCAAACTCCTGTAAATCCCTGCAGTACGACCAATTAAGGTATTTCTTCACAGGCTAAAATGTATCCTAGGTTAAAACAAATGCTTGTTGAGTACTATACAATTACTGTACCATACAATTTTGCATAGCATAAATATATTTTATTTATAAGACTAGTCTTATCAGTTAAATTCGCTCCATATATACATACTTATTATGCACTTGAATATCTTCAATAAAATATAAAATACTGAAAGATATTACTATTAATATTATATCATTGTTGAAAATATAAATTTCACTTAAAGCACTGGTTTCAGTGAAAGTTCAGAGGAAAGGAAATATTCCATTATGGGAACACTTTTATATAACTTCATTCGAAAACCTATAGTAAAGATATAACTAACTCCATAAATATAATAAATAAGATTAGTCCGCATGTATGTGTATTGTTGCAATCAATCTCGTTTGTAAATATATATATTCCAATTATGTATTTAATTCTCTAATATTGTGCACATTATCAATATTAATACTACATCTGACTTTCATATAGACTATGATTGAAACTTGATTTGAAACAAAAAAATATGTTCATAAATTTTCTTTTTCAGAACTGGTTAATATTTTTTAGCACTTAATATGTGTTAATTAAATTAAAGTTTTTAATATTCAATTTATTTAAAATTAACATAAGCTTCATATACTGATAGATAACAACAATAACATCTGACATAAATCATGTGTATTGATGTGATTATCTTTATTATCTGAGTTGCTAACATTTCTTTATGTCTTTAGTAGACAGATTTTGAAAAGTAGTAAACTGTACAACAACAAAAATTATTTTAATTTAAAAAAATAACAAAAAAATCTTTAAATAATTCAAAAGCCATCCAGAAGATACTGCACAACAGATCCAATAGACATAGTCCACTATATCATAATTTTTAAT